AAATATCGTATTCGATATCATCCTAATAAGATGAACACCCCCTAATCTCTTCTCTTCTCTTCTCTTCCCTCAAAACTACATAGATACATTTTTTAATTTAGTTATTTTTAATTGAGTCACGTATTCCTTGAATCGGCTTAGGCTACCAATGTGAAAATTTCAATCGGTCTACTCTTGATCAACTTCGATGTCGCCATTGTTCGTACTATTACTGGAGTGTTTATAATACATGACCTGAACAGTTCTGATCGAAGTAGCTGGGTGGTTACAGCTTACCTCCTTACTTATACGGGCAATAGTCTCAACCGGAGATACATAGTGTGGAACCCTGTTTAGAGAGTATTTCCACTGTGAGCGAAACTCAGTGCTATGTCTAAGTGAAAACTTTATTATTTTCAGCGTTAGGTGTATTGTTTTAATACCACTGCGCTACCTTGCCGTCACTACCGCGGAGCGACACAGGAAGGTAGAAAGTAACCACGTTAATCTGAGAACTATGCCTAAACACTAGTCTAAGAATCGTGGGAGGATATCTACCTACCCTAAATACCTAGGTACCTAGGTATGTAGGTGACTATAGATTATAAATATGTGACTGACTAGAGAGTATTGCATTTCAGCACTATGAATAGGCCTTTCAAACTGAAATGCTTGTAGTATAACCATAAGGTTGTGTGGGGTTTCTTCCATTTTTCCAATATTAGAAATATATAAATTTATTAGATATCTCCTATCTCCAATCCCATTTTCGATAATAACAAACTAACCTAGCAATCTCTTACAGGTCTTGGTAAATGTTTCCTCAATCACCAAAGATGGATCCCTTACATCAGCATCTTGAGAATATGGCACTCTACCAAACATACCACCATGTCACTAAAGGGCAATTCCGTAATGCATCTTGTTCTATTACATTATTTATGTTTGATATTTATATATCAGCTTAGAAAGCTTCCTAAGCAGGCTATATAGCTCAACAATGTCGATATTAAGAAAGCACCTCTAACGGACGTATAAACACAATACCTCGATATTGGTCTGTCGAAACTGAAAAAACTTGGGGATCTGGCAAGGCGGAAAAAGAAAAGAAATTAGCGCCTAAATAAGAGAGGACAGAAAGAATGGAGAGAGTTGGGGTATAGACGACCCTTAGTTGCATAAGGAAGATTGATGACTGCATTTCTTACAGTCTGTGTATGACCACAATTGAAGTCGTCTGTCATGGTTTGAAGTGGTCTGCGGCCAATTATTATGCCTCAACTTATCTATACATGAGTGGCATACATGAGTGATATTTGCCACTGTTAGGGATTGTCTTCCAAGTCCCTAAATCATCTAGTTCACTAGAACTTGAAGAAGTATCAAGGGTGAGTTTGCTGAGTCAATCTGGTAGTTTTTTGCGAGCTAATGGATAAGGAATATGGGTATGGCTTGAACGCCCTATTGGTATGTATTCCCCACGCGATTGATACCGATAATATATATTTATCTCTGGTGTTCATACATACCAGGCCTAAGAAAACGCTCTTATGATGGGCTAGGGAACTGGAAAAGGGGCAATGAGAATTTCAAGGAAAGGGACACAGCTCAAGCTAAGCTATTAGAGGAAGAAAGGAAATAGGGGTTCGAGTTTCTACTTCTTAGTACTCTAATTGTTTGGCGAAGGAGTTGCTTCAGATTTCACAACTATTGCCTTACCATTCAATTAATACCGTCTAGTTACTAGATACTTATCTTTGACGACGAGGAGCTCGTCTTAGTATGCAAATCGTATAGTAGTTTTCAACATTTGATACAATATCATACGATTTATCAAGCGCTGTACGGGTACGTGCGAAGAAGGAAACCTGTCGGAGGAAGTGACTTGGTCGTTCCCAGGCATCTTGCATGTGCTGGCGACATCACTAATGCATCAGTGACAGCTCTGCTAAAGCAGTTGCGATATCGCTCGCGATGTATGACAGCTGAGTGCATTTAGATAACCGATGATATAGAATAGCGTATGGCCATTTACATGTACGTTAGGTACATCTCTAGTAGAAGAGATCTTAGATATTGATGACTATGTGGTAATGTGCTGATTTAGACGAAGATTAGGTGTTAATAGATGATCTGATGCAAGTTGGAAGGAGTTGGCTTACATGTTAGACGAAGGAGGAGAGGATCAGCATTTTGATTTTAATGTCGTTGTTAAAGATAAAAAATAATCGTTAACTAATAAAAAAGGTAACATGATCACAAGCAAAAAGTCATCAACTAATGTACGACACAAACATCCCTGTAGACCGCAGAGGCTAGCGTAGGAGTCTACATAGTAGGGGTCTAGTAATACCTTAGTCAAATCCACCTAACAAGGGCTATGTTCGAACTGTGCGAGTGGGCTGCATTAGCGTGGGGTTTAAACTTATGGGGCTCATGTATAACGGTGATATCCTGATGAGTCTAAGATAACTTTAATCTTATAAGATCTATATATATTTAATTAAATAATATATGTATAGGTATGTAAGTATAGTACCCCTAGTATCATGTGACTAATAACAATGCAACATACTTGAGCCGATAGGGCTGGTAGCTTGAAGATTTGATATAAGTCGCGAGGTCTAGTGGTATTTGAAGAAATATGTTGTTGTATGGAAGAACCCCACGGGATTGTTGGTATGGTTACATTAATTAACTAGACCCTTGTCTGTGCGCATTGTATATGATAGATCTGATTGAGATCGAGAGAGTGACATTCGTACTACACGCCAACCGAGGCTAATAACACGATACATGATACATGATAACCTCTAAGTCATAAACGCGTATATTTAACGACTTAGCTTAAGGGGCTAGTGAACTATTATAATTTCATGTGGCTAGTGATATGCTATTCGTCTATATGCGGGATATATAAGGATGCTTACCGGCTATTAATCTACCTCATGCATGTCTTCCGTTGTGGGTAGGAGTAAAGAGGATACCAATGACGATGCAAAAAAAAAAAAAGGAAATAAAAAGGAAAAAGAAATGAAAAAACACAATCCGTTCTATGTTAGACAAACTAAATCTCTACCTCGAAACGGATATACTATTAATATTTTATAGTTGTAATAACCATGTACCCGCGGAACATCTCGCGAGCAGATTATAAGCCTCGATGAACCGTCCCCAGTGTCTCGAATTATAGATGACTGACACGGCTGGATTAGTTGCTATACTAAGAAGTTAGTCCTTATACGTCTTGGAATTCCGTCTTCTATACCTAACCAATCATAGATTTCTAGAGCGAACTAAGTTCCTAAGAAGGGTAAGCCGATCGTGATGCAGTTCCCACCACCGGACTAAAGTACGATACATAAGGGAATAACCTTGTCTCCTCTGCGTAGGACTTCAAGGTTGCTATGCCTATAGTCCCGGTAGTCGCCTCGGTCGGCTAATGGGAGCAAGGACAAGACTGATCACACGCAGGAGGCTGAGAAAGCTAGTTTCCGTCGAAGTCCACGAAACCAGAGCTAGACCCGGCATGATGACAAAACTAATAAACCACCTTCCTGAATATCCGTGTCTTAACCTGGATTTGAAGTCAACTCTCTGGATGATCTTTACCTAAATAGTATTCTTATTCCGAACTTCGCCTCTATACACCTCGTTTCTGTGAAGGAATCGTATACTAAGACACATAGGATACCTAAACGTATCTATAGGTAAGCACGCAATTTAGCCTTAGTAGTTTAAACAGTTATGCAGCTGACGATGCGCCCCATCGTCTAGGATCGATCGGTTTACCTACTATCGTGAGCTGCCTTTTGAGGTACCGGGATTCCCCACTCGCGATAGCGGCGGATACACTAGTGACATTCCCAACTCATCGGCGGATAACCCAACATTATCCAGTCGTCAGGATCGTGTTTCCCCAGGGGGTAGGATAGACCCGAGGGCGCTAGTTTTTCCTAGTGCTCATATCCCTAGTAATATAACAGATCTTCTGTCTGGCTTATAACATGGAAGACTTGTTGTGCCGGGCCCACTAGCGACCAGGTCCGCCGTAGAGTCCGACTGGTTTAAGACCCTTGAACAGTTTGACATAGTATTGCCAGGACTAAAATTAAAATAACCAGAGAACGAGACGATCCCATATTCTCTAATCTATCATATAGATATTCCTTCTTATCTTCCTATTCGAGATAGAGGTAGATAAAAACTCCCGTTAAGCTAATATTTCGTGGAAAACTAAGAAATTGTACGATTAACTTTTGGAGGCCTCTGAATATCGAGTAGTATTATATCAATCTAGACCGTAGCTAATATTTAGCATCAGCCGCTACGGCAATGCGAACAATACTACTAGATCCCACGTCAGCACATTAGCTAACAAGATGATGGAATCATAATAACCTGTATAAAAAGGTACCTAAGGTAACATAAGCACCGCAGCGTCACAACAAAATTTGGAAATTGTAAGTGGGAGCCAGGCCATATTGAGAAGGACCCGGCATTTCAGCGACATGCCAACCGATAGAACCAGATAAACGAGCGAATAGAAACTGTAGATCTGATCCACAGGGTAACTTGAATACACCATTTGCATCGTGCACTATCATGACTTCTTAAATCCTACTTTCTGCGAGACAACCCTCCTCGCTATTCATCACAGGGATGCATGAAACATCAATCCTTCGTTCCAAAACTTAACGGTATAAGGTAGCTAAATGGCTATTCATTATGGGAAGCGACCGACGTCGGTTTGGAAGTGGTATGATATATCTTCTAAAACGATCATCTACCTATGTACTACGATTAGTTCCGTTTATATATCCGATATCATGATTTCGGGATTTTGAGATATATATTAGGTACACATAAGTCTTAACGGTGTTCCTATGATGCATCATTTCTTAGTAATGAGCTACTCTGGGTAATGCAAAGGATGTAATAAAACCTAGAGGATCGAGCTAATTCATCTTTTTTCGGAAACGTCTAGTTGTTAAAGGTATTCTCTACGTTAGGTACTCAACATGCCTCTCCAAGTGCTTATTATTGGCGCCGGCATTGGTGGTCTATGTACTGCTGTCGCACTTCAGCAAGCCGGCCACTCTGTGAAGGTAGGATACTATTCCTATTTACCAACGACCTTGAGTTAGGTCTATCAGAAGTGCCAACAGAATATAGGTCTTAGAGAAGTCTCGGTTTGCCGCCGAGGTGGGTGCTGCAATTCTCGTAACCCCTAATGGGGCGCGCGTGCTATCTCGCCTGGGTTTCGACTTTGCGAAGGCTCGAGCTGATGATATGACATGCTTTGAGGTATTGAATGGTGTCACGCTGGATCCCCTTCACCGTGCAGATTTAATCAATGCTCGCGAGGAGTTCGGAGCGCCCCTCTATACTGTGCATCGTGTAGACTTGCACAACGAACTTTTACGTCTAACCTCCACCCTGGATCTTGAATTGGCATCGAAAGTGGTAGCAGCTAATGCCGAAGAAGGCTTTGTGATACTCGAAGATGGAACACGGTATTATGCGGACCTCATCGTCGGTGCTGACGGATTGCATTCCGTCTTGAGGGGCGTAGTGCTAGGCGACGAAAAAGAGGCGAAATCTACCCCCTCAGGACTAAGTGCATTCCGGTTTATGATACCAACATCTGACCTAGAGGATGATGCACACTTTCGTGAGCTGCAGAAAGTAAAAGGGAGAGGTAACAGTGTTTTAGCAGATACAACCTCTCAGACAGAACGACATATGGTTTGGTATACTTGTCGAAAGTAAGATTTCCAAATGTGTAAAACTGGGGATAGTGTACCTAACATTCACTCAGCGGGCAAGTCCAGAATTTTGCGGGTATCCATGGAAGTACTCATGAGGACGACGCGGGTAAGCAGAAATAAAAATCACTAATCGTTTTCATACTAAAATCTATGATGAAGATCTGAAGTCTCTCATGCTAAGAGAGTTTGGCCATTACCACCCTAGTATAGCTCATATCATCAAGTAAGTGTTCAAGTTCCCTTCTAACTGTAAACTATGAAAGTTGAAAATCTAATGGAATACTGAATTTAGCGTGGCTCCAAACGTTACTGACTGGCCTCTTTCCTATCATGATCCGCTTCCAATTTGGCATCGAGGAAAATTTGTGCTAATAGGGGATGCAGCTCATCCAGTATGTAACAACCCATATCACTTCCCATATCACTTTTACTTTATCTGGCGAGGCTCACATCAAGGTACTTCAGATGCTTCCATTCGGCGCACAGGGGGCAAATCAGGCCATAGAAGATGCCGGGGCTTTAGGTGCGCTTTTCGGTAATGGAGAATCAGTAGAGGATGTGTCTAGTCGTCTTGTTACGTACGAACAAGTCCGTAGACTTCGCGCATCAAGAGTTCAATCACTATCCAGAGTCCGCCTCGGCAAGGAGAAAGAAGTTGAAGATCGAGTTCGTCGTTATGCCCGACCCTCCAGGTTCCGGTATGTATTTTCATTGCCCCCGAATTAGACTACTCCCTACATTTAAACTTTATACCCTCATCGTGATATTCTATGGTGCCTGACCTTACTAGATGTACCGACTTCGTTCTCCGCACGTTTGAAGCATGATTACACGTAAGTTAGACCCAATTTGCTATATTATTAGACACGAACTCACTCCTCTAGCGTTGACGTATTTGAAGTATGCAAAGAGGCGTTAGCTCTGGAGAGACGAGAGGATAAGAACTGATTAGTAATACTTGTTATTACCTTTAGTATCAGCTTGATACTTTGTTAGTCTATGAGGTGTACAATTGACCTGTTTTTAGATACAAAATATGTATCTGTGACACTGTTATAGAATATATTATAGTAGAATAGGTATTGATATTTAGTTATTGTATTTAGATTCCAGCGTTTGCAATGGTTGATATTGTAAGGTAGGTAGCTTAGGTACTTAAGAGGTAGGTATAATAAGGTATTACCAACTTGAAACCCATGATAAATTTTCATATAACACGTATTTTACCAACCTCCAAGTCACACAATTACTCCAGCTTGAAGATCAAGTAAAAATGATGACGGTCTGGGTCAAGATGGCGCAGCACATATTCGGGTATGAATGAAATGAAAACCCGCTTTTCGCAAATCGAAGGGGGGATTGTCTAATCTGAAGTCCAGACTTCGCAGATTTGATCCGAACATCCATGCTTAATATGTATATCAGACAGCCATATAAGCCATGTCCAATCAAATATCAAACCGAAAATACCGTATCTTGATTCTGGTTGGTGGAAATGGATCCTTGTCACTGATGATTTGACGCTAACTCACGCTTATAGATTAAAAAAAAAAAAAAAAACCATGAGAGTTTACCGCTGCATAGGTCTGGCACATTATTCTCATTCCATTATTCAACATGTAAAAAGAGTATAAGATTATCTTCCAATGTACCACGGCACGGGTCTAGTTGCACGGACAATAGCGGGGCATTATGATTAAAGTTAGAGTTTGTAACTAACGGGCCGGCCCGGAATGATCTATCAAATGGAAGTTTTAACGCGCTAAAATTACCCTAAGATAGAGCTAAGAAAGGACAGACTGACTCCTATTAAACTTGTATTAAAATAACAGACGCTTACCTATGATAATGTTAATATGGTATGCCCCATTATCATGAAGCTTATGAAGTTGAAAGTTGATGGAGGTCAGCATTTAAACTATTCGAATCCTTCTGCGATCCTGATCCAGAATTACCACATGTATGGCTAGCTAGCGATGCAGGACTTGGTAGTATTATATGCAAATCCGCGAACGCATCAAACATTACAACATTATAAGTTCTGGCACGGGGGTTTCTAGATTCCAAAGCGGGACGACTCAAACATTCTCGGGGAGATTTACCATGGAATATATCATAAGTGGCCGGAAGTAAGCTACACCAAGCTCAAAAAGACATGTTCATGTGTTAGCCGCATATGCAGAGTAACCCAGGTCACAGGAAAAATAAACTCAACAATAGAACATTGCTGACCAACCGTGGAACTGTATGTCCCGAAGTGTGAACTTGATACAGTTTATACTCCACAAAAAGTGCCTTGCCTTATAAGGAAGGCCCCTTATTGCTTTGGGACATCAACATTTCTGGTAATTTTGACTTGTTTCTGTGTCACTCTTTGGGCTATTCCCGCGTATTTAATTATGTATCGTAGGACTTAAAAATAAAAAGTTAATAAATGAAACCCTGGAAGCTAAACCCTTCTTGCTTCATGTGCTTGACATACATTGCCTTAGGTACCTATATTATATCCGATCTCGATCTGGCCTTGGTAGGTAGGTATAGAATAACTTATCAAGAGTGAAGATTAACTAGTTAGTTATCGTTAATACAAAACTGTTACTTATACGAACTAACTAACTGATGTATAATTTTCTATTACTATCAATGGCTTCAGGTAACAAGATTTGCCTCATTCCCGACTTTCCTTTTTGTGTAAGCCGTACGTCAAGGATCATAGAGATTGTTGATGCGCTCAGCAATGGGTGATCTTAAGCCCTAGACACAGTCACCCATTATGCGATAATATTTGCACTAGCCTTGGGAAAGTCGTTTCGGAACCTTCCATTCGCGATACTACGGAGACTAAATTGATCTTCGCCCTGTAAAAGTCTCACCTGTAAGCCTTATGGTTGCACTCCAGGGGTTAGCATGCTAGATAAGGAAAGTGCAGAGAAAAATGTACTATGTAGGCGTGGCATGGCACGGCACGACTATCCTGGTCCGGCGCGTGCAAAAGTAGGAAAATGGGGGTCCCATGTAGTCCTATACACTTAATCATAAAACTCCAAGGATAGTAGACGTATTACTACTGTTCTGATAAGACTTCTTTAAGACTATGCCAAACAGGAAATAGCCAAAGATGGAAAGCCGACAACGAAGAGCACGGGTATGCATAGCCAACCGACTAAACAAGTAGACGAACCAAACAAAGCCTAGGGATTATCTTATACCAAATGCCTAATTTATTCATTGATATCTTGAAGAACCGCGGGACGATATGATATCGCTAAGGGTGATGACGGTAAGCTAGGTACCTAATATTGCCTTATTAGCCATATTTTTCTTACGAACCATAAACTGGTTATACGGATGTTGATCATCTAGGAAGTACCGCCTCCCACGTAGGAGTGGCCTATCGTGTAAACGTGATGCCCAAGTTTGTGAGCCCGCCGTCTTTATAAACACATGTCCCAACCCCTAAAACATATCCAGCCCCTAAAAATACATCTCAACAAGGCACCCGCATGAATCAACTTCATGATCGAGACGCAATAACAGTATTACTTAACATAATATACTTAAAGGCTCACTTACATATAGAGCGTGTCGTGGCCTTGAAAGAACATCTCTCATCTCGTGTAGTAACGCCATCAGATATCAGATATCAATCTTTGAGAAATGTATGCAGCTGCCGCAAACTCGGCCGCGAACACCCTCTTATTGTTCGGGCCTCAGATCCCTCGGCTCGTACCGTCTCGTCTTACAGACCTTCGGAAGACAATCCTGGAGGATCCTAGTCTTGGATTCCTCGTTCATATCGTAAGGGAGCTGCCCTCGTTATGGGAGACTACGATTCAACCGAGTTCTTCCAACTTTAGGCGTCTCGCAAGAGCTAAGCAGCAACTAGAACAACTAGGGACGTTCTTTGAGAATCAGAACGAAGAGGCGCCCCGGTTCGGTTCCCCTTCCAACTTACTTCTCGCTCCATTAACTGCTATTTCGCAAATTGTCGAATATCTCCGTCTAGGCCATAAAGGTACCGTACAAGGATTCTGTGTTGGCTTCTTAGCTGCTACCGCTGTAGCAAGCGCACGGGACAAAGACGATTTAGAGAAGTGGACGGCCACCGCAATTCGCCTCGCGGTTTGTATTGGGGCCGTCATAGACCTAGACGAACTAGAACGGTCGGATGAGGGTGGAGATTCTTCCCGGTCTAGCTCTACGTGGTCGGTTGATGACTTCGAGTATCGAAAAGGGGCATCTTGAAAGGACGCTGGCGTCTTGCTCCGAGGTAAGTTATGATATGGCTATCCCTATATTTAACATTTGTTCGTGGCTTATATGGCTTTTTTTAGGCATATATCTCCTGCGTGACTGATATTGACAGGGTCACGCTCACGATACCAGAGGGCCAATTTACGAGCTTCGCTAGACAACTCGCAGATGGCGGCTTATCCGCTAAGCCAGTTGGTCTTTCTGGCCGATATCACACGACCAGTCCAGATAGGACCGAGATCGTTCAACAACTAAAATTGCTATTTCAGCATAATGAACACTTCCAGTTTCCGGCTGCTGAACGGCTGACCGTGCCCCTGAGATCTACCCTGGACACGGAGATTATCACGAAAGGGGCGCTTCAAGAAATCGCTCTAGACTGCATCCTGGTGGGTGTATGTAGGTGGTATGAAACAGTTCAAGCAACGCTGGATGCATGGGATGGCCAGCCGGTTAAAATAATACCAATTGGCAGCAGCCCAGGGGCCGTGCCTCGATCTCTCAAATTAGCTACTGATACCCCCACTAACGGGTACTTCGACCAGTCTCTATTACCAGAAACAAGTTCGCCTTCTAGCGGTATAACTACCGGCAACTTGGCTACTGGTCAGACGACCCCGAGCGGTTCTCTTCCTCCGACAGCCGTGGGAACAGCACAGCCCATTGCCGTCATTGGCATGGCGTGTCGATACGCGCAATCTGATTCTCTTGAAGACTTCTGGTCCTTGATCAACTCTGGTAGAAATGCAACCACGCCTGTACCTGAAAATCGGTTCAAGTCCTCGGACTTGTGGCGTAATCCTAAAGGTCCCTTCTTTGGTAACTTCCTACGGGAGGCGGATGCATTTGATCATCGCTTCTTCGGCATGTCTGCTCGCGAGGCCGCATCAATGGACCCCCAACAGAGGCTTCTACTCCAGGTATCATACGAAGCCATGGAATCAGCCGGGTACGCGGATGGGTCAGAGTCACCACACCGCCCTGTGGGATGTTACATTGGCGCGGGTTACGTCGAATACGAGGACAACATAGCTTCGGAAGACGCAACCGCGTTCTCGGCTACTGGAGCTATAAGAGCATTCATCAGTGGTAGAGTCAGCCACTATTTTGGTTGGACTGGTCCCTCTGTTGTATTCGATACGGCATGTTCTTCATCCGCCGTTGCTATTCATCATGCTTGCAAGGTAAGTATATCCACGAACTATACGCGCAGAGTTGCAGGTTACTGACTGTACTTTTTTGAATCAATAGGCTCTCCAAACAAACGACTGCTCCGTCGCCATTGCTGGAGGTGTCAATGTAATCACAAGCTCTACATTCTATCAGAACTTGGCAGCTGCCTCTTTCTTGAACACGACAGGTGCCTCGCGGGCCTTTGATGCCCAGGCAAATGGATACTGTCGTGGTGAGGGTGCCGGCGTGTTAGTCCTCAAGCCTTTAGCACAGGCTATAGCTGATAATGACCACATCCTTGGCACTATCACAGGGACAGCAGTTAACCAAAACTCGAGCTGCAGTCCTATCACTGTACCAGACTCACAGTCGCAAAGCGATCTATACCTCCAAGCCCTCGCCGGAGGTGGAGTGTTGCCTTCAGAGGTTTCCTATGTGGAGGCTCATGGAACAGGTAAGCTGAAATATCCCAGCCCCTTAACCTATAGAATTAAGGTATCCATCGCATATTCGTTCAAAACCATGCTGACGAAGGGAAAATTCTAGGAACCCCTGTGGGTGATCCCATTGAATGTGCTAGTATACGAAGTGCATTCGGTAGCCCGAATCGTACCCAAGAGCTTGTGATAGGGTCGGTGAAAGATGTGATCGGTCATACCGAAGCCGCATCAGGAGTGGCGGGAGTTATCAAGACGTTACTTATGATGCAGTACGGCATAATTCCTAAGCAGCCTAACTTTACTCGTCTTAACCCAAAGATTCCCGCCTTGGAGCCGGATAAGATGGCAATTGCCTCACAAGCTCGCCCATGGCACACAAGCACACGGAGGGCGGCCCTTATTAACAACTACGGGGCGGCTGGAAGCAATGCCGCTATTGTTGTTCGTGAGTATCGTCGCAGCTCGGCAGCTGAAGATGTTATAAATCAATTGCCAGAAGATAACAAGATCGAATATCCAATATTCATTTCGGCGAAGACAGCAGAAAGTGTTCGCGCGTACAGCGCCGCATTAAAATCATTCTTGGACCGGAACCCCTCGATTCAACTAAGCGATGTAGCGTATAATCTAGCCCGCAAGCAGAACCGAATGCTCGAATATGCTTCGACGTGGACTACTGCGAGTCTTTCCGCCCTTCGGAAAGACCTAGAAGCTATTGCCTCTAGCTCACGCCCTGTGTTGCAGAGAAGCATCGACAGGAAGAAGAAAACAGCCGCGACACAGTGGCCAGCACCAGTAGTGCTCTGTTTCGGTGGCCAGACAGGCCGTAGCATCTACCTTTCACGAGATCTCGTCCAGAATACACCCTTTTTACGAGCTCATCTCGAAAGCTGTAATGAGGTTTGCCAGAGTCTAGGATTGTCGTCGTTCTTCCCGCGTATATTCGATCCGACCCCTGTAGATGATTTGGTCTTCCTGCATGCCATGTTATTCTCAGTGCAATATTCAAGTGCCCAGGCCTGGCTGGATGCTGGGTTGAAAATAAGTACTTTGATAGGTCACAGCTTTGGCCAACTAACAGCGCTTGTCGTGGCCGGTAGCCTGGATCTTACTGACGGCCTCCGCCTGGTTACAGGCCGGGCTCGCTTAATGGAGAAACTTTGGGGCGCCGACGCCGGTGTCATGCTGGCGATTGAGGGCGACACGGAGCGTCTCGACTACCTGCTTAAGACAGTTGCTGAAAAGCAATCCGTCGACGTAGCCTGCTACAACGGCCCGCGCAATATCGTACTCGCTAGTGATACGGCAGCAGCAGATGCGGCCGAGAAGATCTGTCGGGAGACGCCAGGCCTAAAGACGGTTCGACTAGCTAACAGCCATGCATATCACTCTCGCCTTGCTGATCCCATTCTGGATGACCTCCAAGCCTTAGCCTCAACTCTTACCTGGAGAAAGCCATCAATTCGCCTAGAGACATGCTCGCCCAACCAGAGTTGGACCAGCATTGATGCTGCTAAGATCGCAAGCCACACCCGTGAACCCGTCTATTTCGGCGAGGCTATTCAGAGAATTGCCAATCAAAATCCGTCATCCGTCTGGCTCGAGGCTGGTTCGGTATCCCCAATCATTGGCATGGTACGTCGCGCCCTACCAGCCACAAGAGGTAGTGAAAAAGACGTGTTTCTATCGATTGACCTAGGCAAAGGCAACCCTTGGAGTAGTCTTTCTAGGGCTGCTTCTGGGCTTTGGGGAGCTGGGTTAAATGTAGACTTTTGGGCCTTCTGTGGTAGACAAACGGATCAGTACAAGTGGTTGGATCTACCCCCTTATCAATTCGCCAAGACAAAACATTGGATACAATTCCGACCTTATGGACCACAGGCTGAGATTGAGGCGCCGCCGCCTACTACGGGTCAACCGGAATTAGTACGAAGACTTGGAGATGTGGACGGAGAAGCTATATTCGCTGTGGATGTCTCACACGAAATATTCGAGCTAAGCGTTAAAGGCCACGCGGTTGTTGGTCAGAGCCTATGTCCGGCAGGTTTTATTTCGAGTTGGCCATCCGGGCCGCGAAAGCATCCCAAGGGGCCGAGGCGAAGAGCAGCTCTAAAGTTCCCCAAATAGAAAATATGCATATCCTTTCGCCCTTAGGACTAAAACCCAGTGGATCTCTTCGAATTGGCCTTAAACGGGAAAGTAACAGTACGAAATGGTCATTCCGTTTCTTCTCATCTCCTGAAACCGGGGACCGGCCTGCATCGCCAGCTCAACACACCAACCACGCCCAAGGTACTATAGCCCTAATCGACGCCGATGTAGCGTCCTCCCGCTTCCAATCTCTTGGGCGCTTGTTAGGAAGATCGCGCTATGACCAAATTGCTTCATCTCCTGACGCGAACCGTCTTGCCGGTGATATATTGTATAAAATATTCAGTCGTGTCGTCAACTACGCTCCATACTATAAAGGGGTCCGTAATACGATCGCTTTTTAATGGAGAAGTCGTCGGCGATGTACTTATGCCACACGGTCCCGAAGCAGATAGTCTTGCTTCTGCTCTCTCCGATCCCCTAGCTGTCGATAATTTCTTGCAGGTTGCGGGCATTCATGCAAATTGCTTACAGGAAGGCGGTGGCGATGACGATGTCTCCGTGTGCAACGCCATTGGAGAAGTACTATGGAGCGAATCGTTACTACAGTCAGTTAGCCAAGATACATCTTCTAAGAACCGAACGTGGAGAGTATATTCCAACATGGAGGCCAAGGGCAAAAACACGCTCGTCAACGACGTATTCGTCCTAGATCCCACAACAGGTTCTATTGTCCTGGCTTTCTTGGGCGCCGAGTTTACTCAGGTATCCCTCACATCACTACGAAGGGTCCTGTCCAAGATAAATGGAAACACCATTACTCCTGCACCATCTAAATCCACCTCGCTTTCGTCGACCACAAATAACGTCTTCGCGGATACCGTCCAACCACAGCAACCACAAGTACCTTTTAACAACGACATAACGCGACATAATGATCATTCCACGACGACGACTACGAAGTCCGAGACTAGTGTTACTCCCCTTGCCGCTTCTGGGGTCAACCAATCTGTCCGCAAAATGCTAAGCGACATCTTCGGAATGAGCATCGAAGAGGTTCAACCGGACGCCGACCTCGCTGACTTGGGTGTTGACTCGCTAATGATCACCGAGATATCTAGCGAGATTCAGAAGCACTTCGGAGTGACTCTATCTATTGACGACCTGCAGGACCTGACTGATGTCCAATCTTTAATCCGGATTCTAGGAGGGGAGTCGTCTATCCCTACTCCTACTTCTACTCATACTCCCACTCCTGCAGTACAAAGCCTAAATGAAGTGACACATGGCCACGAAGAGGATGACGAAGAAAAAGAAGATTCTAACGATGACGGGGGCATCGCAGCTGTTGCTAATGACTGGCTCTGTGTATACAGAAACACATTCGATGAGGACGCGCAGAAGCACGATCTGATAGGTTTCCACAAAGCCGTGTACCCGTTCCAAGCACAACTAGTCGTCGCATACACCGTTGAAGCATTCGCCGACCTGGGCTGTGACATACGTACGCTTCGCTCTGGAGAACGTCTACCCGATTTTAAATACCTGCCGAAACACGAGAAGCTCGTAGCCCAAATGCACAAGATTCTAGAAGACGCGAGTTTAATTACACTTAAAGACGGTAGTAGTAGGGCCATCCGGACGGATCAGCCTGTGACTCGTGCGTCGTCTCAGGAGTTTGCATAATGCCATCGTTGAAAACTTTCCCGAATATGCAATCGAACACCAGCTCCTGCGCAACACTGGCGCTCGGCTCGCCGATTGCCTTGCAGGCCGGCTGGATCCTCTGGCCGTTATGTTTGGCGATGCCGAGGCGCGCAAGTTAATGGGAGATGTATACGCCACCGCACCCCTATTCCGAGCCGCCACGTCCTTCCTTTCGCGGTTTTTGTCCAACGTGTGCGAGAGATTCCAGGGCAAGCGTGAGATCCGCATCCTCGAGCTCGGTGGGGGTACTGGCGGAACAACTAAAACTCTAGTTGATTTGTTTGAGAAGAGTGACGTGAAGAAAAGGATCGTATATACTTTCTCGGACGTCTCGCGATCGCTAGTAGCTGCTGCCAAGCGGAGATTCGCCCAATATCCTTTCATGGAATATGCGGTTATAGACATTGAAAAGGAACCTCCCACGGACCTCCAGGGACGGTTCGATCTGATCATCTCAACTAATTGTATCCATGCGACTTCGAACCTTGTCCGGTCGTGCACCAACATTCGACATCTACTGCGCGAAGACGGGTTGCTATGTCTCGTCGAGAACGAGGAAAACCTGTTTTGGTACGACCTTGTCTGGGGGCTGGTCGAAGGATGGTGGCTGTTCGAAGACGATCGCACCCATGCCCTGATTCCTGCAGCGCGATGGAAAACGAAGCTCCAGGCGTCGGGTTTCCAATGGGTTGACTGGTCGACGGGTTCTAGCGAGGAGAGTAAAATCTTACGCATCATAGCGGCATCACCATCTGCCCAGCTTTTGAGTCCGGCGGTTAATAGTTCAAACCAAGAGCTAGAGATAGTTCCCGAGACGCAGGAGACAGTAATATTCAAGCATGTTGGACCCTTACCATTACAGGCTGATATATACTACCCACCAACACTACAGACCGGTAGCGATGCGCGACCTGTTGGTAAGAACCACTAGCTAGCCCTTTTCGCTCGTATCTTTTCTTTTACTAACTGCGAAGGAGTATAGCTTTAATGGTACATGGCGGAGGTCACGTAATGCTATCACGAAAAGACATACGTCCGAAGCAAACCCAGATCTTACTAGACGCCGGCTTCGTTCCTATTAGTGTCGACTACCGCCTTTGTCCAGAGACCACCTTAGAAGAGGGCCCTATAACAGATGTTTGCGACGCTTTAAGATGGGTACGCAACACACTACCATCCCTCGCTAGAAAGCGATCCGACGTCCGAATTAACGGCGATCGCGTAGTCGCAGTTGGCTGGTCAACCGGAGGTACCCTAGCCTTGAGCCTAGGCTGGAGCGCTCCGAGCACAGGCCTACAGCCGCCGCAGGCCATCCTAGCCTTCTACTGCCCCACCGACTACGAAGATAAATCCTGGTCGCGAGAGAACAAGCCTTACGGAGACGCGGTCATGACAGAAACGTACAACTTATTAGACGGGGTAGAGGACTCGCCAATAACGGCATATAACCCTCCCACAGGGTCACGAGCAGCAGGCGGATGGATGGCCAAGAACGACGCTCGCTCGCGTATTGTCCTCCACATGAACTGGCACGGACAAACAGTACCAGTCCTAGTCCACGGCCTAAAGAAGAAGAAGAACGCACAGCAGAACGGAACGCCACAACTACCAACACCTACACCCAGCCAGGTCCAAGCCATCAGCCCACTAGCACACATTCGAAACGGCAGCTATCGCACGCCTACGTTCTTAGTGCACCCGTACGAAGACGACCTGATTCCTTGGCAGCAAGCTCAGCGCACAGCCGATGAGCTGTGTAGCCGGGGCATCGATTCGGAATTACGACTTATAAGCAATGCTGCGCATTTGTTTGATATGTATCGCAGTCATGAAGGGAATGAAGAGGCCGTTCGGGCTATTAATGATGGTTACGCTTTCTTATCTCGTCACGTTAGCGGTGCTTAGATGTATTGTATGATTTAATCTAGCTGATGGACTGACTCAAAGTTGGTCAAAGTTGGGCAATATGTTAAGAGTATAGCATGTAGCGGCTGTTTTATAGGATGAATGTCTCTTACCAATGAAATCTAGTGTTCGTACCTAGGTACTTAATAGTAAAGCTCGTGGATATAGCCCCGATAAAATTAACAATAAAAGCTACTAGTTGACGAATCAATGCTCAGCTTTAATTTATACGCCTAACCCGCGGGGTAAATGGTGTGTGCGGGGTTACTAGAATAGGCATCTCGCTAGGGCACCGCGAGCGTTCATTGGTCGCCCTATAACAGGTAGATGGTAACGTGGGATTAAGTTAAGTTTGTACAACTACCATTGTCCCAGACATACTATATCTGAGTCAGCCGGGACTATTCGGTCGACTAGTAATGTAACCAAGTAACCCAGTGGCTCCAAATGATCTCTTATATACTTAAGAAAAGATAGAAAATATAGTAAAGGATCGTGCGTAAGACTGTTTCAATATTCTAAGCATCTACCAAATGTACCTAAGATAGCCCAGTAAACAGGCGAAAAATTATTCAATAGCCTACACAGACTCAAATAAAGTCGCCTTAGATTGTCGTTTTTTTCTTGCCTAGATTAAAAGATAATTTTAAGAGTTCATAGTTGGAACAATGCGCAAGATAACACTGATGCAATATACTAATACATATGATAGTTAAGTAGAATACAAATAGTTAGGCGTTCATCAACAAGGCAAAAATATAACACTAATAATAATATAATATAGTGTAACCCCGTAATAAAGTGACCGAGGCTAACAGCAGTAAATATAAAATACAGGAATAAGTAGCCGGACTTCAAAACTCCCTTATCCAGTAGGAGGGCTAATTCATGTACAGTTAGCCCCAAAACCATTGTCTTAAATCTCCTTCCTGCACATGGTTACCATTCCACGTCGTCGGGATTGTTAGGGCCCCATGTCCCGGGCCGTTCTTCAACGTTCTCCGACTCAAGAGTGTTACTAACTGTCTCATGAGTGCTGTATGAGGATTGTTCTGGACTAGAATTATCGATTTTAAGCTCATGGCGGAGTGGAGATGGCAGACCACGAGACAAACCGGGATAATTGCCGCGACCCTTCTGTATCCGACTTTGGTTCCAATCCCTATGCTCTTCATATCTGCGTTTTTCCATCCATTATGATGCTTCGCAATCCTAACGACCATGTGGAAAAACTCTTCCGTCCTGTTGAACAGTTCGTTGGCGACAACGTTCAGTCTATTGATATAGTCGGGACTGCTAAGCTCGCGTCTCTGTTCCTCGAGTTTGGCTATTTCGGGAAACCTTCTCTGAAAGGCCAAGTGCCTGATAACAATCTCAGTGCAATGGTTGATGGAGTCGACCTGGGATAAATCATCTTCCATGTCGAGCGATCCATCTATTTTAATTTTGCTTCGGAGAAGATCATGCTCTAGCCAGAAATTTACTATAGACGACGTGACTATCCGAAGAGCATTCTTCCCCGATCTGAAGCGTGCTTCGTGTTGCTTCCAGGGCCATTGGTTGACTGAATTATCCCATAAATACCATGTATCCTTAGTAGATTTGAAAGGAGGTCTTGATTTCTCCCGCGCCGATGGAGACGGACGGCGGGGGAGCATATCTGTTGAACTTCGCGGCGTTTCTGATCCATGTGCTTCACTACCAGCCTCGCTGGCCTGGCTTGATGGAGCTTTGGATGGTGTATGCGAAGAAGAAGTGCTGCTATTTGGAGACAGCTGCGGCCTTAAGCCCGACTCAACCTTCAGCGCGTTCTCTGGTCCAATACGAAGGTAGAGCTTAATGCGAGCTTCTCGTAATGCTTCTTGCGCCTTATGCTTCTTAGCTTGGTCAGATGTCGCTTCTCCCTGGAAGTCCATAGCGGCGTAGGCTTAGATAGATACAACTTTTAAAGCTGGGTTTCAACAAGTAAGGCTGATTACAAAACCCACAGTCTCCCTATCAACCAAAGTTAGAATGGTAATATTGGTCGCGCTGTTAGTCTAGAATAGGTGTAGGCAAGTTGATAGAGTTGAAATATAGAGGCAATAATGAGTACCTGCAAGTAGAAATAGTCTTGGTCGGTATGGGTAGGTAGTGGCCGTGACTTCATTATCGCCCGAGGACGAAAACCCAGTTCCGTGCGGATGATCCTATCTCAAGCTTCAAATACTTGGCTGCTACTGGTTACCCAATGCAAATTTATCTATGTGGAAAGTGAGTCAAGCATACCTTGATACACAATGAGTCGATAGAGATTCAGATTGGTACACTCATCTGGGGATATTAGGACAAGGGTAGTGAATGTAGCAAACATCATAAGGTGAAAGAACGGTAAGGCCGACCAGCAGTACGGTTTTACTTAAGTATTTATTGCTTAAATTAAGACACGCAAGTTGAGGAATATAGGTAGTGATAAAGTTCATTGTAAGTTTCCCGAAGAGTCATCAAGTGTTGGCGCTGGCGTGCCAGTGTGAGGTGTCTACTGACACTAACTGTCCCACGCGAAACTATCTTGCGTTGTGATCTTTATAATAAATTGTAAAATCTTGATGTTAGTTTCCTTAGGTACATCTACCTATCTAATGACAGGTTAGGTACCTTACATGTGTAGGCAGGTAGGTACTATCTACCTACTTCACACAGACGTAAGATTTATGCTATTTTAGGTACTTATATGGTCACTGCTCCTTCCAGTTGGCGATTTCCTAAATCTTGTCAGGTAATCTTGTCAGGTAGAATTGGAAGTATAAGTAACTTTGATCAAATACAGTTATAGTGGCTGCATTTCTAATACTTATCGTAAACTTACGATAATGGTCTTTTAGCGGATGTGATTTAAAGTGCCCACAACCAAGTATTTTGTCTATTAATAAGTAAAAGAACAAGTCAAAGCTACATATATACTCTCAGCTAGTCCTTTACCGTAATTATATTAAGGATATAATGCTTGAGTTTACCAAAGGTCAATAGCTTTATATCAGTGCTCAGGCTATTTATTTTTAGATTCATGCCAACTAACTGATAGGTGCATAAATGCCTAACCTATGCGATCACATAAATTCTATTATTACATATAGGACTAACCTTGAGCACTTAACCCTTTCCACTACTACCTGATGACATATAGATATGTAAACTCTATTCATACTTTAGAAGGTAACTACCTGTATACCTTAGCTATCTATAAAAGGTAACGCTACTAACCGCTAGCGATCCCATTTGGTACATACCTACTTTGTAGCACAGGTTTACACCAAAACTATTACCTTTTTAATTTTGAATAATATTATGTATATTAATAAATAAATTAAAACCTAAATTTATTTAATATTTTATAAAGTTGCATTATTAAAAATATACTTTTTATAAAATTAAAAAATTTAATTATAGCATAATTGTTATGGTTATTATAACATATAAAAAGTATATCGTTTTTATATATAAATTAGGTATAAAAATAAATATTTTTTAACAATATAGGAAATTAAAATATTATAATAATAAAACATTATATTTTAAATTTAAATTTGGTTATATAACATTTTAAATCTTTTATATACATAATACAATTGGCTATTATTAATATTTTTATTATTAAAGTATTCAAATTTAAAAATAACCTTATATTAAATTATATTATATTTAATAAGCAAAATTTTCAATTTGTATATTAAGCTATTTAATTTAATTATAGCCATAAAATTTCGTATATAATTTAAAACTAATATATTAACTTTTTAATAATAATAGCTTTAAATATAAAATACTTAAAAATAAATTATCGTAACGTTTTTTACACCCAATTTATATATGAATTTAATATATATATTAAAATATTAATTTTATTATAACTACCGTTTTAAATCTAATATATATATATAATTAAAAACATAAATCAATTATCTACCAGATAATATTAGCCTCAAATAAATATTATCAATATATAATATTATTTAAGGTTGAAAATATAGTATTTTGGTGGGAAGTGTCCTATAAAGTGGGTATGTGCCAAATGGGGTCCACAGCGGTTAGCAGATAAGGATTGCCTTCCTTTACTTACCTAAGGTAACTAATTTAAGCTTACTAATTCCGTGATGTTACGCCATCGGAGTGATTCTTCGCCCGCTATTTCCACAAATGCCCACTTCCAAGGTTCGAGTGCTGGTTGCATATAAAAGGTAAGTATAGTAATTTCACATTTAATCAGTAGGTACATATATCTCGAATACACAAATCTTAGGCGGAGAAAGCATAACATTACAATGGAACCTGAAAGATTAAAGCAGCTGGAGCAGGCCGAAGAAGAACTGCGCGTAAGAAACGAATGCCCCTATTAGATTGCTCATCCTTGTATAGAGGTAGGCATCTTAGTATCCTGGAATCACAGCTAATGTAGGTTTAGCGACGGCGCGAACGCGGCAAGATCGCACAGCGCGCATTCCGGAAGCGCCAGAGTAACACATCACGAGATAAGCGTAGCGAGACCCAGAGGTTAAAAGAGGCCATCTCAAAAATTGTTCGGGTAGCCCGACATGATGATCGCCCCGAGCTGGTCAAAGCGATCAAGGAAGCTGCTGGAGCGACTGGGTTAGACGAAGATATTGTTGCCCAACTTTGCGATGAGAGAGACAATCAAACAAAGCGCATTGTGAAGTCGTCACAACCATCTCCGAACATAGAATCATCGACTGGGTTAGGTATTGATGTACAAGGAATACCTCCTAGTATCGGTGCTCGGTCAGGTTGGATCTTGAAGTCTCAGGACTCGACTCCGCTTGGAAGAGGAACTGACATAGGATGGATGAGCACAAGATTGGACTATGGGTTATGGTTTGACACATCTCGATTCATACGGGTAGACGAACCTCCTTCGGACATCATTCCATATCTCGGAAAAGGGATGAGCACCTTTGCCGGTCGGCTATTCTGGGCTTGTGGCGAGCTTCTACTAGAGCAATGCCGGAGGGCTGAGTTATACGCACATACGAATCCGCGGGTAGCAAGGGAAGCTAGGGAAGTAATCTGGAATATGGTTCAGCATTCACCGCCTTTACACAATGTACGATATATTATAGCATTGGCGGAAGCACGTCGCGAATTCCGCGACCGTGGTTATATTGAAGGAAACAATCCCGCTGGTGAAATCGATTCGGCATTCATTCTGCAGGAACAAGTCATGAACGACTATAAATCAAAGGGCCAGGATACCACTAGGTGGTTATCTCCGATGGCTGTCGAGCTAGAGCTTCGTAGATGCCTAAGCCTCGAATCATCTAGGCAACTCGATCGGGTGCTACAGATCTGGGATTCGAACCAAGTAGAGGGCCCCCTATTAGATATGATACACTCGCTTATCTGGAAATTGGCGGCAAGTTATATTTGCTTTGGGGATGGGCCTCGCTGGCGTGTCGACCGTGTCTTGGCCTTGTTCAGTGGAAGTGTTTAGAATGCACATACATGAAAAGAATCTAACCTAAGAATTTCATTCTTGAATACTGAGATGGTACCAACAACTCGGGAATGTTACGAAAGTTGTCTGAGGTAAACAATATCCTGGATGCTGAAATTTGAAGGCCCCGGGAATAAGAGCCATATTTGTACGAATACTCGTAGTCTACGCACTTATCTGCTGCTCTTTCGGATAGGGTCCGGAATAATAAATCGGTATTCTCAACCACAGGAGAGAAATTCAGGGGTTTGCAGCCGCTTTATTGTACTCCCGCTCCCAACCTTCTTGTATTTCGTGCAAACATTCAAGAACTCTTGGACCAACTTCAGAGTCAATGACATCCTTTTGGTATCTGGTTATTTTCTTTAGCACATAGTCGGAGACAGATGTGTGGTCTCTGGCATCGGGTCGGCCGATACCGATCGATATGCGTGACCAGTATGCGCCGGGGAAGTTCGCAGGTTTTATGCTCGCGTTGACACTTTTAACACCATTGTGCCCTCGATGGCTTGCGTTCCACTTTCGAATTTTAACGTGACCTAGATCTTCCTCTAAATCATCGTGAACTAATACGAGACTTAGTTCGGATGGTTTCAACTGGTGATATTGTAGCGTCTCCTTCCAAGTTTTGGCAAGCCAAGGACCTGAAATATTCATTTGCGTTGGGCTCTTGTAATATGGTATATGTATAGCCTGTCGAGGCCAAGCAGGTTTTCCCGCCGTATCGGTTAGATATGAATGGTGGTTGGGTTGGGCTAAGTAGCCTTTGTAGTGAAGCAAGTGCAAAATGGCCAGCAGAGTGGAGGCAGTCGTAATATGGTGCTTGATTGCCTAGACTGACAATCAAGAAACGAGGATTGAACATATCTTGGACCAATCAGGCCCTCCTTTTCGAGCAAAGGGAAATGTTGAAGGAATTGAGAAGGTAGAATGTAAAAATTAGATAATTGTCTTCATACGTAGGTAGTTTTCTAAGCTTCTCATAGGCGAAAAATAAATTAAGTGGACACAAGCCTAGATTCAACTCAGCCACTGATCGGAACTAACCAGTTATAGCGGGGTACCTACCAAAGAGGTAGAACCAGTAGACGGGCTAGCTGGCGGGGTGCCGACTAGCCGTACCTGTGGCGCAGTTAATTCGCTGACGTAGGATGGATTCAGGTTGCCATCATGAATGATTGAATTCCATGGATTTACAAATGCTCAGCCACGAAAGCCTTGGACCAATTGTCACCTAAATCAACCAAATCATCCTACAAACACGATTCGGATTCGTCAATCCTTCTACAATTCTACCTCACTTTTAATATCAAATCGACAACTCTCAAACGGTTCTCACTCTCCTACCATCTAGACCATAATTACATATCTGAATTCCGACTATTCGTTACCACCAATACAAATAGTACAGAACAGAACAGACCGAAGCACAGTCGCAATCATGTCGTGGGCAGGTATGAACCTCCGATTATATCAGGCATCAAGTTATAACTCAATCAGTTGTTTCTAACTTATTCCTCTCACAGGATTCAAAAAAAATGTCAACCGTGCAACGACCCAGGTGATGATGAAGACGGGCCATGTCGAAAAGACAAACGATCGTGACTACGAAGTCGAGGAGCGACGATTTCGGACAATGGAAGCTGCTTCGTTACGTCTTCAGAAGGAAGCAAGAGGATATTTGGATTCGATACGAGGTAAGCCTAAAGTCGATAGTCTTTTAAAGCCGAGAGTGCGAAGTTTTTTGGGCAGTAATACTAACATTATTTTGTAGCGATGACTGCCTCTCAAATGCGCATAGCCGAGACGATAGATGCCTTCTATGGTGATGCCGGAGCTAAGGACGGTGTTAGCAGAAGCTATAAACAAGCCGTGGAAGATTTAGATACAGAGACCATAAAAGCGCTGGACGGTCCTTACAGGTACAGGTCTGACGAGATGCGACACTGAGATCACTGAACTAACATCTTCTAGAACAACAGTACTAGAGCCTATCACTAGGTTCTGTGCATATTTCCCCGACGTCAATGAATGTAGGTTCTTCATTTGGTCCTTATTCGTATTCACCATTAACACCGAATCTACCTAGGCATCAAGAAGCGTGGCCACAAGCTACTTGATTACGATGCGCTACGAGCGAAAGTCAAGAAGTTAGCAGAGAAACCCGATAAGGATGTAACAAAACTTCCACGCACAGAGAAGGAGATGGAAATTGCCAAGGCTGCTTACGAACAGCTCAACGAGCAGCTATCCACAGAGCTACCTCAGCTTATCGACCTTCGAGTACCCTACCTCGACCCCAGCTTCGAAGCCCTCGTCAAGATCCAACTCCGATTCTGCGCTGAGGCTTATAGTAGAATGGCTCAAGTCCAACAGTACTTGGATGCGGACACTAGGGAGCAGTACGCCCAAGGTCAACTGGACTCGAGAGTGGAGCAAGTATTGCAAGAGATTCGGGAACTCAGTATCAGTGGCACAGTATAGGAGCATTACCGTTAGGTACAAATACGCGGAATTAGACGAAAAAAAAAAAAGAGGGCTTTCATTAGGCGCGATGGTTCTGGTCTGGGCTGGCATTTTCATAGGTAGGGCACTCTTAGGACAAGCCGCGGCACGATTCACGGGTTCATGTTAGATACCGAGCAGGACGACGGGCTTGCGAATAGCAGCCGAGTATTTTCTGAAAGTAGATTTGGTTTCTGCGTCTTCGAGGAGATGATACGCTTTGTGTTCCTTATTCATTATTGTATTAGGATACCACATATTAACCTTGTATTTCTATGGTCCCCTTCAATCGCAAATCTTCCAGTTAGTATCGGAAATATACGTCGGTATAAATGTTTAATACGAGGGTGTCCCCCATCTTTAGATTGTTATGATCCCTTTAATGTACCTGAGACTTTAGGCACAAGCACTCCTCGTCAATTTGGTAGCCTTTAGATATCATGAATTAGGTCTAAGACACGAATTTCAAAATATATACAATCCTTTTCTGTATATACAATACCACAACAGTGACGAAGTCTTATATACTTAACAGTTAAACCATCGAGCAACCCTCGAGTCCAAAAGATGATTTTATCTAAGGATCTAAGGATTTAGAATTCCCTTTCCCTTTTTGCTGTCGATCTATTCGACCCAAACAACAACGCTTAACCCATCTTCTTGCTGGGGAGTGCCAGGTGTCGCAACCGGTAGGTTAGCTACGAGGTCACCTAGCTTGCCTGTCTCGGGGTCGCGTGCGATGATAGCTACGTTGCTGCTCGTCTGTCCACCGACAGCGACGAGGTCGCCGGCCTTGTTGATCGAGAATGTGCGAGGGAACCAGGCGTGCGCGGGGGTGGCCTCGACGAACTTGATGTCACCAGAGCTAGGGTCGATGCTGTATGTGGCTAGGGAATCGTTTTGGGGACCGAACGTCTCATCCGCTCGGTTGGCTGCGTAGAGAAAGTTACCCGAGACGTGAACTTCGGCAGCCTTAGAGCCGTTAGGTGCTGCACTACCTTCGGCGTACGTGGCTAGCGTTTGGCTCTTCTTGAGGGATAAACACCCCCCGTCAGGGTAGGATACAGTCCAGGAAGATACCGAGTTACCTAGCTCATTCACCGTGTATAGCCTCTGACCGTCCGTGGAACCGGCTGTAGGCGCCCACCAGGCACCGTGGCGCGGCCCGTCGCCTGCGCCAGCGACGCCCGGCTCGCACGCCGTAAGGTCACCCGTTTCGGCGTCAATGCTAAAGATGCGGATTAAGTCCGCGCCCAAGTCCGGCACGATAAGGTATTTTCCGGATGGGTCAAGCTGGGCAGCGTGTGGGTGAGGCGCATTCTGTCGCGAGTTGGGACCAGGCTCGGACATGTTGAACTTGGATTGCGCCAGGACGGTTGAAGCCTCAGAGAGGGGAAGCTTGTACCTCGTCAATGTTGATGGGTCACTAAAGCAATTGTTAACCCCTAATCCCTAATCACAACGAGGGGATACGGATAGTCTCTTACTATTCGACCGTGGCGATGAAGCCGTTACCATCCTTACCACCATATGGCGTGCCGTGAACGCTAGCGCCTGAAGTTACGATTTGTCCAGTTTGCTTCAAGCTACCGTCCGACTCTACAGAGTAAGAGGCAAGTATACCACTTCCATTCCAATCCTCATCGACGCAATATACTACTCTTGAGTCCACGTGCAGCCAAGCAGGTAGTGTTCCACATCCTGACACGGATGACTTATTGACTAAGGTAGCATTGCTGCCTTTGCCAGTTAAAGAGAGCGAGAAGATCTTGCCGGTATAGTGCGATGCGAGTAGATTAGCTCCCAGCACTTCTGGTACCAAGCCCAGTGTTCCTAGAACTAATGTCTTGAAGAATGCCATGGTAAACTATGTCTTACAATGAATGGAGCGAGAGGAGGGCGCCAAGCTAGAGAAATTTCAACGAAAGTGAAAGAAACGAACTAGGGATTGGACTTTTTGAAGACGAAGCGAATGTGTTCGCCTTTGAGGTGACAGAGTTGTATCGTGAGGCGAGAATACTAGGACCTAACGGGTACAGCCGAAGGGCAGCATTCCTGGTTTACAGCCTCAAAGCAGTATCGTAATTTGCCAGTCTAGGGCAAGTTGTCGCGAACAGATTGCTACTAGGCTAACCAGGCCGACGAGTTCGTTCCGCGAGCGCAAATGGCAACGACTCGGAACGTCATCCCGATTGTGCAACGTTCCGGACAGGAGGAATTACTCTGGGCAGGGGGGGTTGAGGCTAATTGATCCGGTACGTCGTCTGAATAGTGAACCCTAGCTTAATTAAAGGCCCATGATAAAGCCATTTTGTTGGCTACATAGTATCGCGTATTTTGCTCGATGTGACGATGCCCCAGAGAACACCCCACACTCCCCGCGACGATCCCGGAGGCACGGTCCTGCGTCCTGATGGACAGACAGCACATGGTAATTACGGCGTCTAATTACAGTCTTTCCATTCTCGATTACGGGCGTGCAATACGCGGCTGGCGCTTAGGAATTGTACCCTCTTGGCGGGAGATTATGCACCCCAACTTGGAGATGGTAGAAGCGTGACCTGGTAAATTTTCCAGAGAACCCTTGATATGCCGCACATTGGGCTATGCATGGTCTCATCGCGAGATGGGTCTTGACGACACTGCGTCTATCTCCCTAGCTAAAGAGTCGGCAATTGACACCGTCTAGGCCGCCCGCCTGCCATCGGAGGACTTGCCAATATGGCGCATGATGCTCCGTAGGATTATTTGATGGGGGTCAGGGTTTTAAAACTTCAATCTATGCGTATCGTAAATGTAAGCCTCTTAACCCGACCTGCCGAGCTTAGACGCTCGGCACTCGCGAGTAATGACGCAAGTTTCTAAGAGTTACCAAAGGGACCAAAGGGTTTTTAGTGTTGGAATATCAAGGGACTAGAAGACGCATATATCAGGTGGTTTTTGTCAGTATTAAGCGGTTGTTTGATCTGTACCCCAGAGTGTGGAGGTGAATTTAATATAGACGCGCGCTTTGGCTGCTGTACTTGATTAGCTTTTATGTTAACGGGCTAGGTTTCATATAGGCTGTATATGATATCGTGCTACTAGAAAACTAGATTGGCAAGCCGAGAAGATCGCCACGATCCCACTGGCGTGGATACAGCACGCTTCGTTCGGGTCAAGATTCCTACGTTTCGGCTTCTCTATCAGAAAGGTCTGACACTTGGTCGGTCAATCCCCGGGGGCATCCACCTGGAGAGCCTCCCAACTCCCGAGGATGACGGCCAAGGATGTTCGATATTAAGTATCGGACCATTTAGCCCTATATCGTCGTCGACAGTACGTCCGCTATAAGTTAAGTATGGATAGAAGTCTGTGATAAAGTTATAGAGTCGTTCGACACGTCGTTCGAGCATCGCTGGGATTCTACAAACGGAACTGGCCGAGTCGAGGGTATATCAATCTCTGAAAGATCAGAGATTTAGGAAGCCATTGGACTCCTTGGTCGCATCGGTGGCATCTCAAAAAAAATATCACATTCACCGAGCTACCAACAGAATGCATTCGTCAGCGGCCTTCTGCCTCGGGCTCGTGGCTAGCCTCGCCCAGGGAGCTGTCCTCACCAGGCGTGCTGCTCTAGAAGACTGCCTCTCGAGTAGTGAGACAGTTGTAGATGCGATCGGTTCGGACGACTACAATCGCGATATAACGCCTTTCAACAAGCGGTTGGAATTTACACCTGCAGCCATTGCCGTACCGACCACGGTAGAGCAGATCCAATCCGCGATATCGTGCGGCTCAAAGCTGGGGTATAAGGTTACCGCGAAATGCGGAGGGCATAGTTATGCGTCTCTAGGTCTTGGCGGAGAGGACGGTCACCTTATCATCGAGCTGGATCGCATGAACTCCGTTAAGCTTGACGCGGAGACCAACATAGCGACTGTGGACTCGGGTACGAGACTGGGTCACCTAGCAGCAGAGCTATACGCCCAAGGAAACCGTGCTATATCCCATGGAACATGTCCAGGGTAAGTGTTCAGTCATAGCCATAAATGATAGCTATAACTAACGACTCAGTGTTGGCATCTCCGGTCATATCCTCCATGGTGGATTCGGCATGAGTTCTCACTCGCGCGGCCTCGCATTGGACTGGGTGGTTGGAATGAATGTTGCATTAGCAAACGGATCTCTTGTTCACACCTCGGCAACAGAAAACAAGGAGATCTATTGGGGTCTGCTAGGCGCCGGCTCAAATTTCGGAGTTGTCACAAGCTATGAGCTTAAGACGTTTGAGCCCCCAGCAAACGTCACATGGTTCGTAGTTAATATGCCGTTGAAAAAGAATACATCCGTTGCTGTTCTGGAGGCGATAGAAGACTATACCCTGAATACTATGCCAGCCGAGCTGAATATGCGCCTTTTCGCCACGCGCCAATTCACCCAGCTGGAAGGTATCTATCAAGGAAACAAGACAGACCTCGAGGCTGCGTTGGCGCCATTACTGAACAAGACCGGGACGTCCATAGCGCAAGCCCAGACGACCACTTGGATCAAGGGCCTCGAACACTTTGCTACTATGAAACTTAACCAGACGTATCCTTACACCCAAGTGGTAAGTAAACCCGACCTAGTAACGTTGATAAAGAGCTGACTCGCTATAGCAAGAGAACTTCTACGGCAAGAGTTTAGAGCTGAAGGGGTTGAGCGGAACTGCGGCAAAGAACTTTGCTGATTATTGGTTGACGTCGCCAAGAAGGAGACAACTCGGTGGTATATCCAGCTGGACCTCCAAGGAGGCAAGAATTCAGCGGTGTGGAAAGCTGACCCAAATTTGACGTCGTATGCACACCGTGACAAGCTATACATCCTCCAGTTCTACATGACGACAAGCGGCGCTCCGGACACGGCCTTCAAATTCGTCAACGATTGGGCGGAGACTACAACGGCTCCCTTAACGGCGGACGACTGGGGAATGTATTTCAACTACCCAGACACAAATCTAAACCGCACGAGGGCACAAGAGATGTATTGGGGTAAGAATCTGGCCAAGTTACAGCAACTCAAGGCAGAGCTCGACCCCAAAGAACTATTTTACTACCCAGTGTCGATCAGCCCCGCGGAGAAGTCCGAGCTTCTGTAGCATACCTCTAGGTAGATATATTGCGTGGGGGAACATTCGTGTACATAAATGCAAGATACCATTTAGCGAGAAGTTTTGAGACGGATAATTTAACAAATCGAGAAATATTTAACATAGAGTTTAAACAAGTCATTTCCTTGTTGGTATATGAAGTACCTAATAACCAAGTGAAATTAAAGAAAGAAAGAAAGAAAGAAAAAAAAGGGCGAAGTGAAAGTTTATCCATGTATCTTTACTTTCAGCCACCATTTGACGGGACAAGGTGTGGCTTGCTTCTTACATTCAAAGTCCTAAGGTTCCATAGGCACAATTACGGTGGACCATTATGACATTAGTGCCAAAATCAAGAAAATAGGTCAGGGCTGTCTAAAAAGGGTAATATATCAAGTGCACAGTATACTATGCGGGGTATATACAAGTTTTCTCATTACTTATTTATATTATTAATAACTTTTTAAGTATTATTGGTATAAATTGAAATAAAATACTGGTATTTCATTTAATATATAATAAAAATTATTAAAATCTTATAATATTGCTGATTTATTTCGTAAAGATAATGCGTAGTATAAAAGGAGGGCTATTATGTGTACGGGTGGTTATAAAGGATATTACGTGCCGTATAAGACTTACTGGATATTGATATAATACGCTATACGATACGCTAGCCAAAAGATATATATATGCAACCTGTATCATTATTTTCGCATTAACCAAAGCTATAAAATAATATTAATTATATTTTTTGAAATGGTATATTGGTAAAGTTATTTAAATATGTGTAAGTGTTGTTATTGAATTTGGGTATTTTGAGGTTAAGGTAAAGGCGATATCTGATTGGCTAATCTTTTAAACTTTTGGAATAGAAAAGACTATATACCTGTCTTAATATCTTTACGAATCTTAGGTCGAATTACATGCGATTTGGATAGTAATTTTTATCATTTTTGAATTAAAATATTAGTATATTCTTGAAAATATTTAGATAAATATTCGTAAAGTTATTGTGGTAAAGTTATTGTGGTATAAGGTTAAAAGGGGTGTTAATTGTGTATACAGCGTATATTAATTGAGCTTATACTGTATTTTTGCCTTACTATTACTTTATTAGACATAGTGCCACCTATTTTCTTGATTTTGGCACTAATGTCATAATGGTCCACCGTAACAATGTTGCTCCAGCCTCGGATGGCTTTCTTACAACTTTTCATCACCAATAGATTTAATCAATCGCTTGATTACGTTTCAAAGCTTGACTTCTCATTCGCATTTGTATTATGGACCTTATAGAAACTGGACATACCTCAGATCATACGGAACGAAGGAATATTAAATTTGACTCTTTTACTAGATTTAAAGAAACATGGAAACATTCCCTTGTAGAACATGCTTCAACTTTACACAATGAATTTCCAGATTATTACCTCTCTAATCCAGACTGTCTAGCAAGCACTACAATAGTGAAATCTTTTCTTCTCGGTTTGTTAATTATTATTAACTCTCTCTCCCATTCTCTCTCTCTCAAGAACCTTTGCTAATTGGAGCCTATAGGTACTGGCGCATCTATATTCTTGAAATCGCTGCTCCTGCAATAACTACGGCTAAGCATGAAGTTATTCTTGTTACTTGTTTTCTGGGCGCAAGGACCTACTCTGGACGCCTTGAGAGAAACGCTAGAAAAGCTCGCTGAATACGCCGCGAGCGCATCCGTAGCATCCGTTTAACTAACCCAGAAGCAAAGTATTATCGCCGCTGAAAATACGAATATGCTTCTCATCTAGGTCCCTTTTTCAAAAATTCCATCCATTTTCTAGGGAGCGCGGCTACGTGTACCCACCCTCAACATGGACCACACGGTTAGGGCTGCCAAGCCAGGAAATTTTGAGGCTGGTCTCATCGATTTGCGTGTCAAAAGTTGTTCTTCTTACCTTTAGCGTGATGCATCCAAAATTCCTCATCATCGACCGGGAGAGAGCCTGGCTTCCCAGCTGCAATGTGAGTTGGGAGGCGTGGCTGGAAGGATGTGTCGAAGTCAGCGGCAATATTGTGACCACCATGGTCGAGTTTTACCGTCATGTCTGGGATAGGCAACTTGAGAATCATCTCGAGGGCGGACGTGGTATGGACTATGACCGTTCTTCGCTTTCAACACTCCTTGAACTCGGTTTAACATCAGCACCCCGGAATCACGTCGGTACTTTCGAGGACTTTATACCGGGTACTGAGATCCCAGCGATTCTTCTACCGTCATCTCATCATCGCAATCCTAAGTTTGACTTAATTCCATGGCACGCCCATCCACCACCGCCGCCGACCCCTCTCAATACGGCTGTGCTACAACTCTTAGACATGTCGGAACATATCATCTATATCCAAACCCCAAATCTCACATCTGCGATCGTAATTAATAAACTTGTGGACGCTTTAAAGCGGGGAGTCAATGTTACCATCGTAAGTAACGAGAGACTCATGCTTCTAGAGCAAATCATCACAGCCGGGACTACGACATCTCGTTGTCTTAATTCACTTATTAAGAGATATAAGAAACTCAAAGCGCAGCGTCCTCAATCGACAAGTCACGACAGCTACGCAAATTCAAACCTAGGTATTGATATCGAAGCACAACAACCTCGATTAGGACTCTTGAATGTCCATTATTATTGTCCCGCCTCTAAAAATGAACCCGACGAAACAGCAGAAGAGCCAGTACAGTCGCATCTTAAACTGACCATAATAGACGCTCAATATGTTATACTTGGGTCTGGAAACGTAAGCGAACCTGTGTTTTGCGTGATCTATTATAGAGATATACTAACAAGGCGATTTGCAGATGGATCGCGCAAGTTGGTTCACAAGCCAAGAGCTAGGTATTTTGATCCACTCCGAGGACTTCGCGACAGCGGTTTCCACTGCTGTTTTTAGTACTCTTAGTGGCCGGCGAGAACCAGTTTTCATCTCGGACGAGTTGAAAGATTGAAATCCTACTACCCCGAGTTTGTTTTTATACACTAGAGCAAACTCGCGATAGCAGCGGCAAACGTGAAGTTCTAGCAAGGGATATCTACCTGGGTAGCCCCGGCTAAGTATATATGAGGCTTTCCTTACATTAGTTCTTGGGAAGTCGTTTTTTTGGTGACCTACCCACAAACTAACCGCCTCCGGAAGACAAGAGAGACTAGAACTAGGATTCCCCACGCTTAGGGCGCCTAGAATGGGGGGCTTAGACAGCTATTCCGTCAACTTGCCATCTTGATGAGGTTTGATGAGGTTGCAATTAGAACTCTCTAGTGTAATTTGATTGCTTTTCCCAGTACATAGCTTAGCTTGTACACAACATAAATCATGTGAAATGTTGGATGTTGTTGGATGCTGTTGGATCGGGACATAACTTTCGTTTCGGGTACCTCGGTTAGAAAGAAAATCCAAACCAACTGCATCGACTTCCGCTGCGTCTTTTTAAGTTCTCGGTCAGTGCTTCGGTATCAAAGCGCATACTAGATAGATAAAATATATATGAGACGCGGAAACACAAAAGGGAAACGCAAAACATATAAAACACATACGTATGATATGATAATGATGGCGTGAAGCTAGGTTTTATGGGTTGACCGAGCCTTGATGGACAACAGCCGTGGCGTTATGTTAGGTTAGTAGGTCTAGGGTAGGTAGGTTAGGTAGTTTTTTTCACCGAAAAACGCCGCCGTTTCGCAAGCGGCAGCGGGATACATACAAGCCATATTCCAATCAAGAACCTTGGCTCGCTGTTCTATTCGCTAGGTTCCGATAATAGACTGGTCACAACATTGGCAAAGCGGTCACAATTTTCTAGGATCAACAATCTCGTTTCTATTCCGTACATTAACTACATAGAAATCAAGGATAGTTATAATATAATAATACCAACACTAATCACTAATCCCCCCCTCCCTTTCCTCCCCACGTATCGGCTGTTGGCAAAGCCGCAACTTCATCTTACTGGTGGTTGGTTGATAGAAAAAAAAAAGGGCTGATGTCAGATTCTCTGTCTCCCGTCGGCCGCTTGCATCGCCATCGGTGAATCGCAACGAGCCCTTATCGGGTACCTGGTTCGCCCGGGGTTAGCTCCCGCTCCGCTCAAGTCAGTCACTGATTTCTCGCATGCATATTATCGTGCCGATATCATATCTCTCTACCCTTCTACCCTTCTACCCTTAGCCGATCGCTGATCACTAGTAACGGTCCAGTTACATTCCCCAGTGGGATCCCTGTTACAGCCCTGCGTCACCACCACAAGTCCTCCTAGGTAGAGCCTAGAACCAAGGCGCCGGATTCGGCTTGGCGCATGCTATCTTTCTCTCACCGTACCTGTTAAAAGGCCGCGTAGGTAATACTGTGGGAATCCTTCCTCGTCATTCTAGCCTTTTGGCGTTTTCTTGCATTGCCAGTTACCTATGTGACTGGGCTGATTAGATCTTAATCATATAGCCTGGCTAGTGATCGCCTTGCCTTGCTATCGCAGCAAGAAAGAACTGCTTTTTAATAAGCCGCCGCCTAATGGACTTCGTGCAAGAATTCTTTTCTCTTCTTCTCAAAGGAATTTTCGGCCACCCTAGTATAATTATTACTACTATCTCCTCTAGCATCTGGTTCTTTGCTCGCTGAAGTATTCGTACTTGCTCCAGATAGAGAGGAGTTATCTCCTCACCATGGCATCTTCGGGTGTCGAATACCCCGCCGCCTCAGCTCCTGGGTATACGGTTGGAAATGGTCTCTCCGATACGGAGAAGATTGCCCTCGGTCGGCAAGATAGCCAGATCGAATCCCTTGCGATGGTTGGGGAGACAGACGGCACGCACCGCAAACTTAAGGCTCGCCATATACAACTGATCGGCATCGGCGGCACGATTGGCACGGCCCTCTATGTCCAGATCGGTGCCGCACTACTCGATGGTGGCCCGGGAAGTCTGTTCATTGCCTTCTCGCTCTGGTGTACTGTCATTCTTGCCGTGACCATGTGTATGGCAGAGATGGTGTCATATCTACCCATCTCCTCGCCGTTCATCCGTTTCGCCGGTCGTTATGTCGACGAAGCCTTCGGTTTTGCTGCCGGGTGGAATTTCTTCGTCTTTGAGGCTATGCTCGTGCCTTTCGAAGTGACGGCATGTAATGTTGTTATTCACTTTTGGAGTGACATTGTGCCGGCAGGCGCTATAATTGCAATCGTCCTTGTGCTTTATGCGCTGATCAACCTCCTGGCTGTTGAATGGTACGGTGAAACGGAATTCTGGGCCGCTCTCGGCAAGGTGTTACTTATCGTCGGGTTGATTATATTTACGTTCGTTGTAATGGTGGGTGGGAATCCGCTGCACGATCGATTCGGCTTTCGGTATTGGTACGAACCTGGCTCGTTCGCCGAGTATTACACGACAGGATCCCTTGGCCGTTTCCAGGGCTTTATGCAATGCTTGATCCGGGCGGCTTTTACTATTGCTGGTCCGGATTACGTCTCTATGGCCGCTGGAGAAGCCGAAAATCCTCGCGTGGTAATGCCTAAAGCCTTTAATGCAGTGTTCTATCGGTTGACTACATTCTTCATGCTTGGGTCTCTATGCGTAGGAATCTTAGTTCCATACAACGACGCTGAATTGACTCGGGCAAACGCCAATGCCGCGCCTGGGGCGGCAGCTTCACCATATGTTTTGCTATGGATCGATTGAATATCCCAATCCTTCCACATATAGTCAATGCCATGGTATTGACTGCTGCATTTTCTGCTGGCAATAGTTATGTATATTGCGCGTCAAGGTCCCTTTACGGGCTCGCCCTCGAGGGCAAGGCACCCAAGTTCTTCACCAAGTGTACGAAAACAGGCGTCCCTATCTACTGCGTGACGTTAGTATTAATGATCGCGTTGCTGGCCTTCCTCCAAGTAAGCGAGAATGCTGCAGTGGTACTTAACTGGTTTGTTAGCCTGGTAACGGCATCGCAACTCATCAATTTCAGCGTGATGTGTGTTACTTACATCTGCTTTCATCGTGCCTTGGAGGTGCAGGGCATCAGTCGCGACTCCTTACCTTATAAGGGGTTCTTGCAACCTTATGCAGCCTATTATGCTTTGTTTGCAACCTTCGTCATGACTTTTGTAGGAGGCTACGTGGTTTTCCTACCAGGCAGATGGAATGTTCCGAATTTTCTATTCGCGTAAGTGATGTATTCTAGATATCCGATAGATCATGGCTAACAGTTAAATTAGCTACATTATGGTTGCAGTATGTCCGATACTCTTCGTCGGTTGGAAGGTGGTTCATAAGACCCGTCATCGTAGACCGTATGAAGTGGACTTGCTCAGAGACGTAGCTGCGGTCGAAGACTACACCAACAAGTTCGTCCCGGCACCTCCCAGGTAAGTTCCCTTTCATATATCATGTTAGATACCTTACTTAACAGTTATAGGAACTCTTTCGCCAGGTGGTTCAACTGGCTATTTAGCTAAGGGGGATACGTTCCATCTAGTAAGAGGACATGTGATAAAAGGTATGGAAATGATGTCGTCCTCCATTTTTGGTAATGTACTCCAAATAGACCACGTGATAAAGGAGAGGCTTGGGTAAACATTGAAGAAATCTTGATTTCTTTTTGGTTATCTGGTGCCTAAATGCTACCTAATATAATAACCTTCCCAAACGCCGAGGTATGCTTTATAATACAAGGATATCATACTTCATTACATAAAATAAATGCAGGTCGCAATGGGTATTTCTTTTTATAAAACAAATAAAAAAATAAATAAAAAAAGGTTTGAAAATGGATTTGTAAAGTATCATCGCCGTGTCCTGGGCATAGGGGATAATTCGATCGGTCTGCTCTCGTAAGGGTTTGAATATCTCCGTTTTGAACCCGCTACGGACATATTAGATTCCCCATCCCAAGACTCCGGTGTCTCCGATCGTATTTTCCAATTTCGCTCTTGATTTTTGGCTGCTCGATTTTCCCTGTCTTGTCTTCGTCCATACAAGAATGCAACCACCGCCAATGCCACAATCGCTGCAGACCCAAACGTAGAGCCGACAATTATACCAACTAAGTTAGGCGATAGAGAGTCAGTTGTCCCATGGGTGTCTTGATTGGCTTGTACAGCAGTTGCTACTGGCTCTGGGTAGCCATTAGCGCCCATAATTGTGACCATCATTGGCGGGCGTGTTGATAATGCGCCGGTTGTGTCAACAGCTGTAAGAGGCAGGGCTAAACTTGAAGTCGTCGGTACTGTCCGATATAACAGTTCTATTTCGCCGGAGCTAGCACAGAGGGGCATGAGAACCGGATCCCCTATCCCGTATGTTGAAAATATTTGTCGTGTTTGGCATCGCATTGGACCGCTGTTAAACTGTTAGTTGAACTAAGATCCACCAAGTATAATGAGACACAAGAGTCTTCTTACCAGTTAGACGTTGCACCTTTCGAATACGCCATCGCATTGTCTTCGCAGCCCGTAGCAATAGCACAAGATGACTCCGTCGAAGCGCAGCATGCTGCAAATTTCCCCGATGTGGTGAATACGTCGCCATCAGGGCAATATATCGGTTTGGCTATTGGTTTATGTTAGTTATACACACTCGGGCTATTCTCTTCGAACAGGTTATAAAGAATTGACCTACTTGTAGCTGACGAAACGACGAACCCCACAAAGGGGTCTTTCGTAATAGCCGAAGCTCGAACTGTGATAGGAGAAGGGCGGTCTGTTGTGGTGGTAGAGGTCTCTGATTGTCCCAAAACACCCCATCGTCCAAACGACGCTATAAGCAAGGCTACCCGCCAGCTGAACATGATCATCGAAATTGAAACGTAGACTTGGATTTAGATATTAAGGAAATATAGAGAATTGAATTCTCATGATTCATAATCGATTAGCTAAAGATGCAGTGAGTCCCAGAGTCGCGAAGTCGAGGCGCAAACTATAGAAAAGATCGGCATCGCGAATAAATAAGGGATCTCATTCTCCTTCCCATAATAGACCTCTTCCTGTGCCGCTTCTGGATTTTTGTTTCACTTTACGCAAATTAATTAGTTTTCAGAGCTTCACTCCTTTAGTTATTATTTATTGTATCCAGCCTCACCTAATAGGAAGGACTCAAGAATCCTGCAGCCCTAAATCGATCCTATATTTAGACCATGAAACCCCCTGTCCACGTAGTGAGCCGAAGCGATGCAGGGAATAAAAGCTGCTGTCGTCCCACGTGGAACGTTTCCTTAATGACGGGATAAAGAAACAACTCTAGATGCTCAGCGCAATCATTACTTAATATACTATTGTTTCACCCACATCCATAACATATGATTCGTTACCTCGTGGCGCAGTAAATAAGTCTCCCCCGTAAAATATATCAAGATCTTTAAATAACTGGTTGGTGCTTTATTTTCATTACATCTTACATTTCCTCGTGCAATTGAACCACCTGTATGATAACTCGACTAACCTCGTCGGCTTTCTCCTATAGTCTGACACCATTCGAACCTTTCTGTCGCTGATATCGAATATTTCTTATTCTGTACCGTAAATCGTATGAATATTCATTCCTCTATCTCACGCATTGGATGGTTGGCTATTTATTTAACCTGACAGCTTTGATTAGAGTGAAACTATAGAACTTAACCATTCTTAGATACTAACCTAAATGTAGGAGGCACGTATCGGTGTGGCTGTGCTCCTTTAGGCATCGATATAAAATAGCTTGTCTTAGGGTAATCACCCAGTCATAGGCTAACGTTATCTTCTCGCACGATGAGATATGCATTCGAGGTATCGCCCCCCAAAAGCATTACAGAAAGAGGGCGATGTACTGAAAATAGTCTTTGGGAATAAAATCATAACTCGTGGTACTATACTCCTTATAGTGAATTATCACTAAACTCGGGTATTTATGGATTCATTGCGTTGGTCTTGATGCTCTTCTCATGACCCGACGGGTTGATAGTTGATATGTTGCATTTATAGTATCTATAAAGATAACCATCTCTTAGAAAGATAACTTAATACAATACTAGGTACAATACTAGTAGAGGTCGTCTCTACTCCAGTAAAAGGGATGATCGCCAAAACTTATACGACTACCAGGTGACAAGGGTCATGGTTAGGGTATGATGTGATGAGGGTTATAAGTCTTAGGTTGAAGCTATCTACCAGCTAGTCATTTGCTATACTGTATACAAAGAACCTTGGTTTCTTTCACATTTAGAAAAAATCAGGCGTTAATAATGTCTTTAAAATATATATGTTATACTGGCTATCTACCAGCTAGCTATCTGTCACTCCATATTGGTCTTATATACCAAGGGCTGCCCGTGACAACGACAAGTAAACACGAAGTCATTTGACTAAATCAATCTTTCTTGGTATTGGCCTAGCAAAGATTTCTAGTATTTTGCTTAAGTATGTCTAGGAAGAGGGTTAAAGAAATCGGCTTTTCTTTACTTACTTAGGCCGACAGCCCCTTTGCCGAACAAGGCATATTTCTTCAGATGGTAGTCACTTGTTACTGGTCATTTGTGGTGAAGTAAGAGACATGGAAAATGGTTAACCTCGGCAGTGGTAGTATAATTACGCAATACCATACGTGCAACTGTGAAATATCTTACGATGCCTAAGTGACTACTTCATTATAGTTATTCTTGACATGAGAACAGCAAAATCGTTTTAATTATAGAAGACATACCCCGGTTAGGTACCTTATATATCGAAATAGATATACTTATTTCCGATTTAGACTATGTTTATAGATTATGAGGCAGCAACTAGTTAGATTGATCGTGGGATGTAAAAGATAATACTATACACCATTAGTTATCGTGACATCTAAACAGACTAGAAACCACACGACTTAAGATTACTTTATCGGACTCAAGAAGGTAGGTACCTAGGTAGTTTACCTTTATGTATTAATTGAATTATTGACCGACAATAGACAATCATACATACCGACGAAATGAAAAAGAAGCTTATGTGCTACTAACCTTCCCATTTGAAAATGTGCGGATACCATACCATCTTATATCATCGGTGCGCTTATAACTTTCAACTGTAACCACGGCGCGTGTCACATTTGGTATAAGTATACTCCACCCCTCCTACCGCTAACCCTTCGCGGATAAATCTGCGTGCTGATTCCTCCAATGAGATGCTACTAACAGCAGTTTAGGACTCCTTAATTAACAACAATACGAATATATCGTCCGCTCGAACCCGACAAGGATGCCTTTAAATCCACCTTTATTAATGGCAATAAACTTCCAACGAACTAGAAATCTGGCCAACCCAAGAACTTCTCTTTTTGGAGTTTGATATTATATTGTACGGCTCAAAACGATCATGATGCTGTATAACACCATATGGGCGCTTGTGCTCTTTTTAAGCACCGTGTCTGGATATGCTAATCCTGGAGCATGCTCGGGTACCTGCGTTAATACACACGATCCGTCTATCATTCGGCGATCTGATGGCACATACTTTCGATTCTCTACAGGAGGTAAGATAGCGGTTCATACCGCGCCAGATATTATAGGACCATGGACGTATAAGGGTGCAGCACTGCCGTCGGGATCGTCAATCGATCTCGGAGGGAACCAGGACCTATGGGTAAGTATAGAATAGTCAAATGTTTTGCTTTAGGCACCCGTGATTTTTAAAAACAGTTCTTACTAACTAAATGTTATGTTTTAAACAGGCCCCTGAGGTTGCTTTAGTTGGCAGCACTTATTACTTGTACTACTCAGTTAGTAAATTTGGTGTGCAAGACTCCGCCATTGGTGTTGCCACTTCGTCTAGCATGGACGTAGGCACATGGAAAGATCTAGGATCAACAGGGATCCGCTCATCATCTGGGAAGCCGTATAATGCAATCGACCCTAACCTCATCAATGTTAACGGAGCTTACTTCATTACCTTTGGCAGCTTCTGGAAGGATATTCACCAAGTAGCTATGAAGAATCCGCCCAAGGCTGTGGCGAGCGGTGCCAGTGCAGCTCAAGTTGCTTTTGACCCCGTCAAGACCGATGAAGAGGGTGCCTTCGTATTTAAACACGGCAACTACTATTATCTCTTCTTCAGCAAGGGCAAATGCTGTGGTTATGATACGAGCCGACCAGCTGCCGGCGAAGAATATAAGATTCTAGTCTGCCGGTCTACCTCTGCAACTGGTGGGTTCGTGGACGCGAGTGGCAAAGCCTGCACTAATAGTGGCGGAACCGTGGTCTTGGAATCCCATGGAAATGTATATGGGCCTGGAGGACAAGGAGTTTACGATGACCCTGTTCATGGACCAGTAAGTTATATGTCCCCCAAGACTATTTAGCACGTGTGATTAACGATATCGCGTACTGCAGATCCTTTATTATCACTATGTTAATACTAAGATTGGCTTTGCGGATGGTCAGAAGCAGTTTGGATGGAACACCATCAACTTTTCTAGCGGTTGGCCTGTTGTATAAAAGTAAAGAACTAGATAGTTCAAGACTTAAAGCCTATTTTTGAAGATCTTTGTGGTAGTTACCTTGCGGTTAAAGCGTCGAATAGGGTTCATCATGTCGCTAGGTATAACCCAGGTACTTTACATTTATGGTATAAACGCGTTTGAAATGGCCAATTAATAAACTTCATGAGTAAATGAATGAAAATACGCATGAACTGACTAAACCGAGTCAGCAATCACCATCGTACAGTTTTGGCAAGGAAACTCAAGGTCAATATATCGCCCACCAGCGTAAGGTGGCCAAATCATGAAGTTGGCCCAACTTGGAATTCCTTACTTTACCTTAGCATGCAGAATATACTTACAAAATTTAATTGATGACAGCAAATTTTTGGATTTGGGCGCTTGTCAGGCGAGTGAAGTTTTTCTTTTGTGCCTCCCGATATAAATGATTTTTAACACATTTGTCGAATGATTTATCTAGCCTAGCATATTAGAGCAGATATGTCGAGTTCGATTAGCTTTTGTCTTGTTGTAATTCTGTAGGACTTTGATGTGTGTAGTGATTGGCACTCTAATGCCGAGCCTTCCCCCTTTTCCATCGACGACATAAACACATTAGCTTTCAAGATGTGCCTGCTTCCAGTAATGTCCAGTGATATAATAATTCCCTCTTGGAGTGGATTGGTATCCCTGTGGCATGCGAGATTTGGGAGTTGCCGGACAATCGAGATTTGGCTCCAAGCTGGTATATTATCGATGACGCATAGGAGCAACAACAACCTGAAATAAATCAATAAGAACTTCGCGGGAATCTATTTTCCCTTGAACCTCCTATAAGTTTTACAGGTGATTTCACCCTTGTAGGAAATAAGAATTGACAAGTCTAAACAATTGACAATGAAATTATGTGTTTACAATAATGTTACATGGCAATGATTGATTCTTAACTTAATGTGAAAAATGGTAAGCATTAAATAAATTGACTTAGTTAGCAGGAAAATGGCCATCTAATTGTGGTTATTTACTTGCACGACTTTCTCTTTACATCTTTCGCTTGTTAGGCGTCATAATGAGAATGATATGCTTAGGTACCTGCTTAGGTATAGACAGAACGAAAAGACTATTATGAGTTAGTAATAACAACAATGACGATGTCAATGATTGAAGATACGGTATATGGACTGTATATCGCCATGGCCTCTTAACTGTATAAGTCAGGAGGTAGGACCTTTTTATATATATTCCACGCCAAAACGACACATACAGAACCTGAAAGCGGTCTCTTGACTACTCATTTTAACAGTTGATATTGTTTACGTCCGAGGTGCTATGATCTTGGACGAGTTGGGGCGTCCCGCGACTATAGTACATAAGATAGATGTATAGATAGAGCACCTACTTTGAAAGAGATAGAGCCAGAATATTGCTTCAAGGAATATTTATGAGTTACTTGTGGTCTAGGAGATAATTATACCTATTACGTATGTATACATATGTAAATAGGTGGTTAAACATGTCTGAAACAACATTATAGCTCGACCGTTGTATATCAAAATTACTTCGGTACTGGGCGGGTAGTGTTGTCGTGCCGTATAATCTAAGATATATAAGATAGCTTACATTAGAAGACTAAGTTAACAGATTCATACTTTTAGCTTACTAAACAAGATAGCAGTTTAGTGGGATGAATATTTCATGGTCACATTTTTCTCTATTTCTTAAATTACTTAAATGATGTAGCACCAGGTGGAACATGCCTCCAGAATCGGTTGGCCAAAAGCTGTAAAGCTAGTGTTGCCCAACGGCCGTGTAGGACACCGCAAACCATGAATTACCTTATCCATAGCTCTTATCCGACTCAAGAGACCTTATAGATCTATTACGTATCGAAAAGTAGCGGATAATAAAATATTATAGGGTAGCCGTTCAACCGTTTAGCTCTTGGGATGCTTACCCATATACCAACATTAGGACTTTCAACTGGACGTACCACACACTATGCCAGCTAATTCCGTAACACGATGGGGATCGAACCTATATAAACTACTACTAGTTCTGGTGGACTGCTAGATTATCCTGTAGAAAGTCTCGAACTAGGATGTTAAATCTCGTATCGCGTGTTCTCACGACCTCGGGAGTTAACTTGCTGAGATGTCTCTCCCAGGCCATCTGACTCCATGCGTGGTAGGCGAGCTGATCCTCGTAAAGACTGCCGCCGTTCCTGTCTATCTCCGCCGCCCACTTACGCGCCTCGTCCGAGCTGAGTTGTTTATGCATGAATTCGATATGGTCCCACGTCCAAGTTGGCCAGAAGAAAGCGTTTGGTGCTAACGTGCAGACCTCGTCTGGATGTTCCAATTCCAACTCTTTAGGAAGGACAACGCTGTGGTAATTCCACTCCTTAGAAAGATCTGCTCCGTTATACTCTCGAAGCCATCTCGCTATAAACGAGCTGTTCTTCCGAGCGACCATGATGGCATTACACAGGCCCCCACGATTTCCGCCCTCGTGGCCCAGTATTATATCGCGTGACGATTTTAAAAGAGTGGTAAAGGGTCGGAATCCGAAGGCATCCATATCCATATAGATACCACCCTGCTCTTGGAGGAGCTTTAGACGGAGAATGTCGGATACATGTGCGGCGTGCCAGGTCGCGTCGGGCGAGCTCTTGAGGGCCATCATCTCTTCGGGTGAATGGTAGACGAGGTCGATATCATCTTTTAAAAGACGTATCCATGGATTCGATAGAGGGGATGCATTGGGTTCGGGCGATGGTGGATCTGCAAGATACGTGTAATGAAGTGAGATCTTCTCTGCTTTCATGCCTACAATGGCACTCCGTACGGCGAGGTAGCAGAGAAAGTCGAAGGTACCTGCGCTAGGTTTGCTATAAGGGTTACTGAGCCCGTATATGAAATGAACATGGTTGGGTATGGGATCTATGCGTTTATCGCTATCGGTGGCCAATCGAGGGGTAAGGCCGTGTAAGCAGTCGAGCTCATTTTGCGTAGGTACGAAATCTTGTTGGACTTTCCATTGGTAGGCGAAAGGCAAAGTTTGGCGCACGCGATCCCCGAATTGTCTTACGGATGGCCAGAAGGGAGGACTAAGAAGTACCAAGATGAAGACGATGGGGAAGAGGTAGTAAACTCGACGACGGCGTAGAAGTACCATAGGATGATACATGCTAGGAGTTGTGGGAGATATGCGGATATGTTAAACAGGCTCGAGGCGGTTATATCTCTCCCCCTTGAGAACAAAATTAGGAGCCCTGGAGAAGATTTAAGACCCGAAGAAGATGGACGGCGTCTTAATTACGGACCTTCTTGGCAACCCCCAGAGCCGGACAACCGGTTACATTGGCTAGCGTTGGCTGCCGTGTCCGGTAATAATATCATTTATCGCGTAGTAGGTAGTAGTAGCGTAACTTGATCTGTTCTATAGAAATGTGAGATGCGACAAATAATATCTTTAGTGTACCTATGTGAGATGCGACAAATAATATCTTTAGTGTACCTATGTAAGATGTTAGGAAGAAGTGCTTGAGAAATAAAAAAAGTCGAGAATGCACCTGCAGGTACTAGCATAAGAATGATAGGTACCTCTTACCTACTCGGATACCTGACGCTTATACATGCGCTCCGTAGGATTTAAACTTACCTAAACTACCTCTATGACCTAATTGTACTCTTATTACCTCTAGTGCTACTTCACTTCCTGTCATACCTAATGCGCTTCCCAATGTAAGTGAGTTTAATCATCTTACATTAGGTACAACGGGTACGTACATATATACGATTACCTGGTACATACCTAGATACCTATATCTTTAACATGTATGAATTTTAGTTGCTACCTCTATACTTTTATTTTATTTTTTACAAGAATGTCCAATTATCTTAATTAAAAATGCGGACTCGACGTAGAAGCTGCATATGCAGAGTTACATGTACATACATGTATGCGTTGTTGGAACCTTTGCAAATCCTAAAAATAGGGGTCTGCTACCTGTATGGATGTAATGTACGAACGCTAAAATGCACTACGTTTCTTACTAAAAAAAAAGGGACCTTAACAACTAAAAAACCCTTGACAAGTAAAAAAGATCAACACATGGAAGACAATCGATAATCCCAACCAATAAATTAAGGCTGGTGCAGATGGCCTCGGGAATGTTTACAAAAGATAGTGATAATATCTTTTCAACTACATCACATATGAGCTAGCCCGTAAAGTTTGGTTAGCATCTCACTACCATGACGCTGTTTAATCGGCTACCACGCCTACGAAGGAGAGGAGGATGGTTACAGTCGCCTTTCCTTTGGGTCCTCGGCGTTGCATGTATTCTCGAAATCGCTATTCACGCCTCCTACTACCGCGTGCCCGTACCGCCTCGCGAGTTCGATACTCCCTTCTATGCCTCCTGTCAGGAGCCCCCGAGCACTCCTCCAGACTCACCTCGCGAGAATGCCGCCATCGTTATGCTGGCCCGCAACCAGGAAGCCGAGAAAGCTGCGAGATCCGTCCGCAGCATCGAGCAACGCTTTAACCGCTGGTTCCGATACCCCATCGTATTTCTTAACGACGAGCCCTGGAGCGACGAGTTCATACAAACTATCAACGCTTCTACGAGCGCGCCGACCTTCTTCGAAATAGTACCTAAGGAACAATGGACTTTTCCGTCGTGGATGGACCAGGATGCTGCCCGCGCGAGTATAAAGGATCAGGGCGACCGCGGTATTTTATATGCGGGAAAGGAGACCTATCATCACATGTGCCGGTTCTTTTCTGGGTAGGCTAGCCGACTATACTACTTCTCATGTTTGGCTTTTACTGAGGTGTCGACATTGTAGGAACTTTTATCAAGTCGAGGCACTGAAGAAATATAAATGGTACTGGCGATTAGAACCAGACGTTGAGTTCTCATGTTCTATTACCTACGATCCCTTCGTCGAAATGGCTCGCCATAACAAAGTCTATGGTTTCACGATATCGCTCTGGGAGGAAAAGCGCACGTGTCCTAGTCTCTTTAGGGAAGTATCGGACTGGAAGGAACTGAAGGGTATCCCTAGCACCAACCTCTGGAAAGCGAGTGTTGATGCGTCTTGGGTTCCCTGGCCTTTCCGTAGCCTACTCAGCTGGTTTTCACACCGCGATAGCTCGGGTGACGGATGGAATCTTTGTCATTACTGGAGTAATTTTGAGATCGCAGACCTTGATTTTTTTCGTGGCTCTAAGTATCAGGACCTTTATAAGCACTTAGAACATACCGGCGGCTTCTATTTCGAAAGGGTTCGTATGCGTCGGACAGCAATGCCACAGCACTAATTTATTCTGATTTTTTTTTATGTTTAAGTTGCTAATCTAGTTTCTTATAGTGGGGTGATGCTGCAGTCCACTCACTCGCCGTAAACATGTTGGCAGAGCCGCATCAGGTTCATCATTTCGCCGATATTGGATACCGACACGATTGGTATTACCAGTGCCCTGCAAATGCGCCCGGTGGCCAACTACTCGAGTCGCAAGCACTCAACGAAGTCCAGAGTAAATGGGCTGAAGAAATCCCCGGGGGTGTGGGTTGCCGTTGTGACTGTGACGGCCGCCGGAATAGAAATCATGCCAGCTATTGCCTGAACAAGATGAAGGCGCCTAATACTGCTCATCGCCCCTGGTCTACATGGCTACTTAGCTTCATATTTTAAAATATATACCCTCCGCTAATGTTAGTAGATATTTATTACGGTATAAAGATACCCTTTGATGAAGAACTGTCGCCTCCAGTTGGCCACTGTCAGACTCTCGCAGTTATACTTATAGTCAGACAGCATGCCTTCAATACTTTACAAAACGCGAAGTCGTTGCAGGAATAGTCCGCCTCGCGACAATCATTACGAGGTGACGAATCGGCCGTTTAGTTAGGATATATTAACAAACTAGACAAAGATATTGGTTTAATGAGACCGTACTTAAAAGTCTTATAGTTTGGCCTAGAGTTGGATCGGCATGATATCATATACACAAGATAGACAAGCGTGATATACACCAAGGGTTGAAAGAAGACATTACAATGATACTAAGGTGGAAGACTATACCTATTAAGTCTACAGTGCATTGTATAATTCAAAGAAATAACTAATCTTACGCTTTCTAGAGAGTGACTTAAATTGTAATACTAATTTTATAATTAGTTATTTTCGCATTCACCGATGGTGTTACTATTGCTATATTGTTATTGTCATTAACGTAACTTGGTTTTTTTTCGAGGGCGGGAATCCAGTCGAAAATATACCTCAGTACCTCACGTAGTATATATATAGAGCGATTGTCATAGTTGTACCAGGTCAAACAACCGGCTAGTATAGACCTAGTTGGACGCCTTTAGTATGCAAATGCCAACTCTACCAAAGACACCACTTCTTCAACGTATAACCTAATGACCCGGCTGAAGCGTGCTTCCAATTGCCGTGTCATGGCATTATATAGGTAGCCATGCAACCACTTAGTATCATCTAAGTATCGATGTTGCCCCCAAATCTCTTTCCTCGAGTTGACTAATATGTCGAGCCATATCATATCCTAGGTGTGGTATAGCGAACGCGTAATGAACAACCCGTCTCTTTTCGTCTGGCGGAAATTTAAATTTTCCAATGGAATATTATCCGGTCGGGTTTCTATATCCGGCCGGAAACACCTCTGCGACGTGAATGGCGGAATATCGATCGAGTCTAGGGTGCTATGCCGTAACTCGGGTGTAAAACGCCAACGTGCGTTCACGAGATGCTCTCAGTATCGACAGCCATTTCCTCTTTGGCAATTTCGGTAGTTTCTTCCACAGGTACATCTATATGTAATTCTCAGTTAGCGACTGGCTTTTTTTTTTTTCTTTTTTTTTTCAGCCCCATCTTGAGAACAGATAACATTACCTTTCATCTCAACTTCGCCGTCGGCCTCCATCTTGCGCTTCATAGCATGGTTCATCTTCCGTTCGAGCTTGCGCCTCTTTTTCGAGCTGAGCGCCGCGTTTGGCCCACTCGTCGGTAATAGCCCGGGGCGTGCGCCGCGCTTCGTGTCCGCTTTGGCGACTCGACCCTTCTTGTCGAGGGCGGCGGTGCTGATGCGCTTCTGGTTCTGCTTCCTCGCTTTAGCAGAGCGGGCTATGAGGCGGTTCTTCGAGGGCCCGTTGGGGTTCTTAACGGATGGCATTTTGTCGAATTGGGTGGTTTACAATGACTTCTTGTATGTAGTAAGATAGGCAGGCAAAATAGGTACGGTTTGTAGTTGTAGATGGATAAAGAAAAAATTGGAGGGGTCCAGTTTGAAAATTTTAGTGGAGTCGATGTCGAACAATGCAAGGATCTCCATGCTCAATACTCCCCGCATCACCCGTTAAGCCAATGCCATGTAATATACAGTTATCCGGAAGGTACCTCTCTTAGGTACCTAACCTAACATTACCGGGGCCCCTTTTTTCGAGTCTCATTAACTCTCTTTACTCTTTACATAATACATACGAAATGGAAGAGTTAGAGTATAATTATGGTCCATGAGGAGACAAGATGTAACAAAACTGTTGACAAGCTAAGATAGAATGTCTGAACATATAAATTAATACCCTTGTCCAAAAGTCCAAAAGAAGCTCTAGTCCATCGTTGAAGCCGAAACCCCTCTGATCCTGCGTCAGCTTCCAATTCTCATATCTAGCATGTCTTATGTTAAATCTATACAAGTTATCTACCATTATTTCCGGTCTATTGCTACCCATCACATATACATTTCAAATATAAAAGAGATATATATAAATCGCATCTAACAAGATGAGTCCAGTTCCGATAGCTATCACAGGCTCGCTATGTGAACTTTGCCACCAATTCATCGACAATCTCTTCTCCTTCGGCTTTGACAGACAGGCCGTTTATCCAACGCGATGGCTGCTAGGAGGATCGGAAAGGGTGGTAGGGAGGCGCTGGGGTGATGTCTTTCGTCACCATGAGACGTTTGGAGACCTCGCAAATAGCGCCAAGATGTGTGAATTCTGTAATGTCCTCTACGTGGACCTTGCATCTTTGGATACAGGTCTACATCAAGGCTGGTTAGGTTTATACCCGTTCTGGTCTTCAGGTCATTCAGGAGAGAACAACCTGAAAGGCCTTTTTCGCGCTGGCTTCCGCGACTCTTTGCAAAGCATGCCCTGGGGAAGCGGCAAGATTGGAAGTATCCCACTACACAGCTTTAGGATCTGCCGACGAGAGCCTTTAACAAAGGGAGAAGAGGTACATTGGTTAGATACATATAGACAGGTACCAGTCGTACCAACGACTTTATCCTCTTCACTTATATCCCGGGTCGCAGCCAAGTGGCGGCAAGAGTGTACCGAAGCTCATCCAAAATGTGTCAAATCCGACTCGGATCATGCACTTCCAACAAGGGTGGTCGATATAAGCGACAGCGAAACAGGGCGAGTCTGTATATACGAATCAAATGGAGAAAAGATACCATATGCCGCACTCAGCCACTGTTGGGGCGGTATAATCCCATCGGTCACCACAACGGCCAACCTGAAGGCAAGAACTAATGGAATGGACATCCACGAACTACCTCAGAATTTTAGGGACGCCATCGAGGTTACCAGAATTCTCGGGTTGCGATATCTGTGGATAGACGCTCTGTGCATCATCCAAGACTCGAAGCAAGATTGGGATCAGGAAGCTGGAAGGATGTATTCTGTATACGCGGGCGCCTATATAATGATATCTGTCCTCGATTCCGCGGGCAGCACCAAGGGCTTTCTTAAGCCAAACAGGGCACCACTGGCACTAATAAGCAACGAATATGCCGTCCAGAAAGTATACCCAGATATTAATGAATGCCTTACGGAAGCCCCGTTGAACGGCCGCGGTTGGTGCATGCAAGAAAGACTGTTGGCCAAACGTGTACTGCACTTTGGAAATGAACAGATGTCCTGGGAGTGTCTGACTGATTTTAAGTGCGAGGACGGAAATAATTATACCGGCGAGTGGGATGCGCACTTCGTGGCAAAGTTCCTGACTATTAGAAAACAGATTGGTGTATGCGCCGGCCAAGGTGTTGAGTTAGATTGGAAGGCATGGTATCAGTTGCTAGAAGAGTACACTACACGGAAGTTCACCATTTCTACCGACAAGCTACCTGCTGTTATTGGAGCTGCAGCATTATTCAAGTCTACCAAGCCAACTGCGACGTATATTGCCGGCTTATGGCAGGAAGATATCGCTCGTGGTCTCCTATGGTGTGCTCACTATTATCACATGCCAGGCCGGAAGGTCTGGGGAATATCAACGACTGACGATATCTCCGAACTATCTAAACCACCTACGAAGCGCGCACCTAGCTGGAGTTGGGCTGCCCTCGACGGTGCACTCGACTTTTGGGCACTTCGGATCGGAGGATTTGTAGTTGAAGTCTTAAATGTGGCAATGGAAACTGAGAAGGAGGCTATATATGGCTACCCAGTGGGGAGCATAAAACTCAGGGGCCGCCTTGCGCAGATGTTTTATCATCCGCCCGAAGATAGTAAACACGACGTCGGTATCTTGACATTTGAGCCAACTGACACTCCAGATTTTCATTACCGGCCAACAAATACCTGCGTCATGGATTTAGATCGTCAGTCACCGCGACTGTGCTGGGCGTTGATAATGACAGAGTTACCTACAAACAAGTACTTGCTTATTCTCCACATGCGCAAGGATGGATCCTATAAGAGGGTCGGAATGAGCAGTGCAAGTTGGCGGGAGATTGACCCAAGGTTCAGAACGCAAGAAATTTATATCACTTGAAATCACCAAAGTGAAAATACGAAATGAATAACTATCACTTGACAATGGGAAACTCGGCACGAGTCATAACCAGGTTAATCATAGACGGTGACACCGGTTGTTTGAACATTATAGTATTTTTTTGTGATTTTCCCTTAATTAAAGTACACTTTTACCACTCGAGCCGGTCGTCGCATATTAAGCTGACATCATATCGACCATTTCCTTTCCAGACCTTCCCGCCCGAGTTGCATGCCGCTACAATACTCCTTAAGTCGCTGATCATGCTTCCTGGTCCGCTTGCATATACGGCCGTGGAACCTCTGATGGTGTTGTCTACGAATCCCCTAACTAACTTGTTTAGGTCGGGGTGCCTGTCAAATCCTTCCCCTCCGATTCTCTCGACATTGAGAGACGAGGCAGACTGAACACCCTTGACGGAAGAAGCAACGGAAGAAGCCAAACCGGACTCCTTCACGGCTATGTCGTCCTTCTCTAATATATCGTCGTTTATCGACGGGCTCCTGCTACTTGCTTCCCTCGTTACATATATGTGAACTTCAATCTTATGCGCCTTGGCGGCTTTGCGAATGGTATCGAGTTCCTTCTCGACCCAACGGGTATCATCCTTCTTCCTTACTGCCCAGACCAGCTGGACTTTCCGGTCCTTCATTTCTGGTTGCTCTATTATTCCAAGCAAGACCGGTAAGATGTATGTAATTCCCGTACCGCCAGCCACGCAGAGCACATTGACATCCGGTGTCAATTCATCGACTATCGACTCTCCATATGTTCCCGACAGGATTAAAGGAGTCGTTGCGCTAGGCGATGCGGCTAATTTCCTCGCGGCCAGTTCTGCGACCTTCTTCGTCTCTCCTTTCTTTGCTCTGAGAATGTACGAGTGCGAAACAAGCCCATCCTTTACCTTTGGCAAATTGAGCGGCGTAAATGGGTGAGACTGCCATAAGCTGCACTCCGTAAAGCAAAGGTAGAAGTGTTGTCCAACTTTCCAGGCATCCTGAGGATGGGTAAAATCCATACGCACGACATCTCCGTGCTCTGCGTCGGGAAAGTGTGTCAAAGATGCGTGTGCCGCCCGAAATCCCATAGATCCGCCAGGTAAATATTGGTAATGAATGAGGGCCGATCGCAAGAGTCTAACCCCACGGTCCAAGAACCAGAGAGCCAACCCTGGGATCAGAAAGCATTGCAAATTTGCCCAATGACCCCAGCAAGCCCCGATATATACCATTGCCAGGACATAGTGCGCCTTGCGGAAGAATTCGTAGCCGGTGAGGCGAATACCCCACGGAGTACTCAACGCAAAGATGATTAATAGCAGGATTTGCGCGACAACTCCCCAGATGATATACAGCTGCTTGATCCATTCTATCGCGGTCGTCGGCTGCGGTTGGTATAGTCGGACTTCGATTATGGTCCAGCCAATAGTATGCAGAGACCCTTGCACAACGATGATATATCCAAGCCAGCGATGAAGAAAGTTGAAACTCTGGTACGGGACGCCGGTAAGAAGAGAAAGAATAGATTCCCTGCTAGATAACAAGATCGACAGTGGCGTGAGAGCATACGCAAAGACGCCAACTCGGTCAGACCACGGGCCCAAGCTCGTTCTGGTGTTGTGAAGTCCGGGCTTGTTCTTTATGGGAGTGATCCACGTCTGGTACGTGATGCCGAGGAAGCTAATATTAGCAAATAGCTTGCTAGGACAGTCAAGATCAAGACTTGAAGTTGCGTCGTTCGGCCAAAGACGAATCGGACTGAGTCGGGTAGTAAGTAGCGACGGATTAACGCCGCGGCCGTCCTCCTTATTCGCGAGCGTCGACCGGCTATTTTTGCTACTCTCTCGCTATCGATGGCACCGGTAGGTATCTCGTCGGCGCGAGGGGATGGGAAGATGCGTTTTCCGATAGTCCAAAGCAAGAGAATTCCAGCAATTATCGACCACATTATGCCGGAATAAACCATGGTCAAATCATGGGACCCATATACTTGATCTAGGTAGGCGCAAGATCCTGGGTCATTCGTACATGGAACGGCTCTATCAACATAACCCCAGTGCTTCTCCAACGCGGCGGCCTCGCTGAGATTCTGAATATGGCGAGCTGCCAGCGGGTTATTAGTGGTCGCCATCTTTCTGCAAGTCGTCTCGACGACAGACACTGGAAGGCGTTTGATCGTGTATGACGAGCGAGCAACTGGCGTAACCCGAGCAGCGGGAAGGCTTTTATTTGTTTAATAGGACTGCAGAGTTTGCAAGAAGTCCACAAGTGAAGTCTGCAAAGTTTAGCTCCCGTCGACGGTTGATTTATGATCTACGGTTGCTTGCAGGAACCAGTGGACGGGATGATAATATAATAAAGTGACCAAACAGACAAGCAAGTCCAACTCGTCGACCTAGCTAGGCAACACACCGTCCAACCATTGTACCCATTGCCGGGACAAGGTGGTGCCACTTCAAGTTGCCTCCTCCGTCTAGAGGATAATTCCTCTCCAAGAGCTCCGTCATTCTCGGCGCGCTGGTGGGAAACTTGCTCAAGGATGCTACCCCCCGAAGGTTCCAAAGGTTCGAAACATACACCGTTCAGGCCGTTAAGCCCGCGAAGGGAAAGCTTGAGAAGAATTGAGCACGTTTTTCAGGGGTCATATATGGCTTGGCGTACAAGGATGTCTTACTTAAGACCACCAATAATAGACTAGACTCTTGAACGTTTGAGGCGTCGAGCCGTTGAAAACGAAGCCTTAATGGGCCAAATAGTCGAATTTGTATCCACTTTGCCTGCGTCCTAGATACGATCATCTGCCTTTCCACTGAAACCCGCCGTCTAACACTTTTATCTAAGACTGTTAAAGAGGGACTTTACCTTGTAGGCGCGGTCGCCGCACCCAGCCCTTCCCTCATCCTTGAACCATCGACCTTCCCAAAAGGCCGAATCTTGCTCTTATACTCTCATTTTATAAGAAATCGTCATCCTTCTACGCCGAGCGGGTCGTAAAGTCTTGGACAAGCGAACGGCATAATAAAGGCATCAGTGTTCCTACATCCTAAAACTTGAGTCTTCACAGGGCCAAAATTCCTCGTCCCGGGTCCAATTGCAGGCTGATTTCCGTGTCATCCTCCGAGCGCACCCAACGGGAAGGTTGTTACTAATTTTGCCGACGCATCTAAATTAACCGTCAACATGGATCACAGCCATATGGATATGGAGTATAGCAACGCTACGTGCACACATGCGGTACGTGTGACTAATTCATATTGAAATAGAGCCGACTGGACAATAGCTGATCGAGAAATAGATGGCATGGAACTGGAATACTATTGGCACTTGTAAGGCATCCTCATTATCCAAAGCATACCTATCTAAGAGGCTTGGTATGTATGGATAGGCAGGTAATTAACAGATTCTAGGCTTGCTTGCTGAATCGTGGCGCATTGAAAACGAGGGGACTTTTGCAGCCTCGTGTATCGGCGTTTTTATTCTTGTCATATGCCTAGAGTTCCTCCGCCGGATAGGAAAGGAGTATGACAGCTTTATACTACGGCAATTCCGGCAGCATTTAGCGGCAGAAGCCCGCGCATCCAAAGGAGAAGACTCATGCTGTTCCGAGGCGCCGACCCCCGGGCCGCAAGTCGTCACGTTTAGGGCAACGCCCGTACAGCAGCTGATCCGTTCTATCATACATGCATTTGCTTTCGGTGCCGCATACATACTCATGCTAATAGCCATGTCATATAACGGCTACATCATAATAAGCATCATTATCGGCGCCGGCGTTGGAAAGTTCCTATGCGATTGGATGATCGCCAAGGTCGTGATCGGAAACGAGTCCCAATCAGATAAAGAGGTGAACAGCGGTCTTGAAGAACCGTCTGTATGCTGTGGTTAATGTCAGATTTACGTTTAGATACCCATCGTGTAGTTTTTTTTTTTTTTTTTTTCTTTTTGGTTCAGGTTTGCTCAGACAATAAATGCCTAATTCAATCAGTACGATTTAAGGCTGATCTTCAAGAAGTATGTTTTCGATACCCAATCCTCTGCGAGATTGACCGGCGGAAGAGACATTTCAAGTCAGAGTCACATCATAGAGAAATTTTCGACCTGTTATCACATGCAAAGCAAGTGCTACGATTCATTCTAGAGCTATATTTAGTTCGAGTGTAGATCGATTGAATTTCAAGTAAAGTAAGGTGACCCGATTGCTTGGTTTACTTCGGAGCCGTTACTAAATGTAATTTGTTAGTTAGACACGACGAGACTTGGGTAATTACCCTGACCTTGGGGGTCACGCTTGACTTTGTAACCTCATCTCAAACACCACCAGTCGTAATACAAGAATATCGCGTCAACCTCTAGGTTTATGTAATGTGTGACCTATTTTGGGGTTCACCTCGGGTTCCAAGAGGCTTGGATCGGCCGGTCGAATATTAGGCAATACGGATCTGGTTATATTCGATGACAACATCGACGTCCTCTACCAATGAATTGTATCTTGGTCTCGAAACGGGAACTTCTGACTCGGAGGTGAAGGTCTTGGAATGAGGCAGTGAAAAGGTATGAAATTTTTATTTTGCCTCTCAGTAAACGTATATAAGAATTGGTTCAGTTACACAATAGAGGGTGAATGTTCGCTGATAAATACCTATAACTAGTACTAAATATCTTAGAATCAAGCTTTTCGTCTAGGTCTGATAATATTATCATAATACGAACAAGATGGAAGCCATTGTCTTCTTCGTCGCCGTTTTTTCCATGCTTAGTACGGGAATGGCTAACCCAATTTCTAAGGCGAGCCCTAGCATATCGTTTCGTCCCCAGCCAACGTAACGGGCAGCATGACACTCTGGACTTCCTCAAAGGCACCTGACAGCACAACATCTTCAGCCCCAACCGCCGTCACGGGAATTGTGTCGCTACCATACTTCACACCCAGCGTATCCGGCAGCAAAACATCTTCGGCCCTAGCCGAAGTGACCGGTAGCATGTCGCTTCCTTATTTCCCCTCTAATGTAACTGGTAGCGCAACAATATGGGCTCCCACCAATGTCACGGGGAGCGCTACTATCTACTCTCATGCCTCTATCCCATCCTCCCTCTAAGGTCTCAACAGCGAGCTGTTGCTGTCGTCGACTCTTGCTATCTGTCTAAGCCTTGCGCAGTAGTCGATAGTTACATGTCCAAGTAACCGAGGGAAGGTTTTTGAACCTCGAACGACGAGTCGGCTACTAAATCGGAAGTTCGTTCGGAGATCTAGAGTAGAAGGCCGAGTGAAATGCGAAAGTGTACTACTTTTTCGCACTAGCCCTGCGATCTGTGTGCGAATGCATTTATCATCGTCGGCTATCGGTATTTATTACATGAAAATATGTTGAATGATGGAACTATCAGGGGGAGGCCTTCGACCATTTCCGGACATCTTGAGGAACTTGATGTTGGTCTTAGCCAAACAATTGGCTGAGACCCATTGTATCTACTCCTCAGAAAGTTGTCGTTACGTTGTAAACATGGTTGAGGATGGAAAATGTTCGGAGTCTCGCCGTCTCGGGGGTGCTATGGGCTTTATTTTCAACTTGGAGTATATATAAAAAATCAATAGACGAGTATAATTGGTTGATTGCAAGGTCACAAGAGTATACTTAGATGCGAATTATTAGATGTCTGCATGTTGCTTATTGTTTATTCTCTTCGACTGTATTGCCGTGTCATATCCTAGTTTTACATGCAAATCAATGACCATGTGTTGATGTCATCGGACATCTTAAGGCGCCGTCGATCGGGCGCTGTTCTATCACTAGAAATGTATAAAAAAGTGAATGAATTTCGCCAAGAGATATTGAAGTCAGAAGACAATCACCAGTAAATTTCGAAACACATATATATCATCGACTTATATCCTTAAACGCCATGAGCAACCCCAATAACCCCAACATCAGCCAACGCAGCACACCGCAATGGGCCCTCTATCAGAGGGAGCTCTTCTGGGCACCGAACGAGGGAAAGTACCCGCCCTTTAACACGCGTGAGAATCGATACCTATATATATATATATATAATATGAGTATCGCGTAATCTAACGAAACCTGTAGACCCTGATAAACTGAGAGAAACAGCTAGGGAGCGCCTCAGCCAGTCTGGATGGTATGACTGTCTACTTTATAAAACGAATAATTGAATCAAATCTCACCTGAACTTCAGGCACTACGCATCCTGTAACGCCGGCCTCTCATGGACGCACTACGCCAACCGGCAAGCTTTTTACCGTCACCAAATTGTGCCGCGAATGCTCGTCGACACCGACCAGCGGGACACCGCAACCACCATCTTCGGTCACCGCGTCGCAGCACCAATTGGCTTCGCACCTATCGGTATTAATCGGATCTACCACGCGACGGGGGAGCTCTCACCTGCCAAAGTGGCCGGCGAACTAAACCTGCCGTACTGTCTAAGCTCTGCCGGCAGCTACAGCATCGAGGACGTGGCGCATGCTAACGGCGACGGCGGCGTACGCTTCTTCCAGCTGTACTGGAGCCCGGACGACGACGTGGCGCTGTCGATGCTGCGACGTGCCGCGCAAAACGGGTATACCGCGTGCATGCTGACTACGGATACGTGGCAGCTAGGCTGGCGACACGACGACGCCGCGCACGGGAACTATGCGTTTTACCACGAGCACGGGGCCGGCGATCTCGGGCTTAACGACCCAGCGTTCCTAGATCGTCTACGAGACGCGAAGCTAGACCCGAACGATCCCAAGGACAAATTCCACGTCGGCGCGGACTGGATCGATAAGCACATATGGCACGGCCACTCATTCTCGTGGAAGAGATTGCCGTGGCTAATTGAGAATTGGAAGAAGCTTAGCGGTGGGAAGCCGTTTTGCATCAAAGGGATCCAGAGCGTGGCGGACGCGCGCAAGGCGGTGGAGCTGGGGGTCGATGGGATTGTGGTTTCGAATCATGCTGGGCGGCAGGTTGACGGTGCGATTGCGAGTCTGGATGCGCTGGAGAAGATTGCGGATGCGGTTGGGGATAAGATATACGTGAGTTTACCAAAGTTACCTACTTAACCTACGCCCTTTAGCATGAGATATATGAATATGATATAAGAATAGCAATATGATGGATACTAATAGCTATACGGCAGATTATGTACGACTCGGGCATCCGAGGCGGCGCTGACGTGTTCAAGGCTCTGGCACTCGGAGCTAAATTCGTGTTTATAGGTCGTCTATGGGTGTACGCGCTGGGCTCCGGCGGCGAAGAAGGCGTGCGCCATGTGATGAAGGGACTTCTGGCAGATTTCGATATATTGATGAACGTCGCAGGGTATCCGGAGCTGAGAGATATTAATCGCGATGCTTTGGACTCCCTGCCGAAGGGGGCGTACTTCCCGTCTACAACGGAAATAGCCTAACTAAGTGTTTAACAAGAAATTTTATGATCCTGACGAAAAAGGTGGTTGAGCTGTTGGAAACGGTCATTTCCGAGATCACGAATGGAGAAAAGGCGATGGTAGTGATAGGTATATTTACAAAGGGAATATTGGTGTCTTAGTTAGATGTTTTAGCCGCGGAGCGAACGCACAGCCGTCTCTGCCAATGTACATCAAGGTTTCTTCACGTATATATTCTCATGTCCGTAAGCAGCCCCCCTTTTCTCATCCTATAGTCCCCCCACTTAACCGGTGACGTTGAAGTAGTTGGCGGCAATAGGGTCCTTCAGTCCAGCAGCCGTAATGAACTTGGGAACGCTAAATCCAGTCTTCTGGCTCTGAAGCATCTGGTTCACGGCCGCGGGGACCTGCCAGTTCTCCGGCTGTTCCCAAAGTAGGTTCGTGTATCGGTGCGGATGAGGAGGGTTCTCCGGTTGAGGTGCCGGAGCAAACCACGCTACGGGGCCATTGGCCGTGGACGTAAGCGTGCTAACGCCGTCGGCTGATGCACTGCCGCTTGCCTTGAAATCTCGGATCACGGTGTGAAGATATGTGGCTGGTTGGCCTTGGCCGGGGTTTATGAAGTTGGTTGATCTAGCATCATATAGAGTTAGCAACAATAAATACTAATGTTTCCAGGAGTCCTTGAAACATACGCATCGAGGTCTGTTATAAAGGGTTAGCTAGCTGGATTCCGAAATCTTGAAGGATATATAACTTACCGATCAGCATCCACAAATAGGTACCGTTAGCAGGAATACCTAGGCCAATAGTTGGCTGCCTTGAGGTTTCGGTCTTTGCCAATGCTAGACCAGGCGTCACAGACTTGGTTCCGAACGTGACCTCAAGCTTTTGCTCCACGGCGGGGGTGAAGCCCGACGGGGTCTGAGCAGCTGAAATACTGGCGAAAGCCAGGGCGGATAGAATACCGAAGCTCTTCATCTTCAATATCAACGTCTATAGCAATAACTGTCTTATGTGAGTCGACGATCCGGTCATATTGGGTAGACTCCCCAGGACCTGGGTCTGATATAAATACTGGGTTGTCATCGAATCGCGTGTCTTGCGCCATATCTCATGCGGAGCTCTTTTTACATCATTCAGGGGTAGGTAATCTACTTCATGCTAATGCCGCCACTATTAACTTTATATAAGCTCGTTGGCTAAATAGCCAATTTTCCTCATCGGGCTCGGTCGACTTCTGCATTGCCAATCTTCCGTCTTGGCGAATTAGCTATAAGAGTTTACTTGAACGCGGGGTCCCCGCAAATTGATGGCAGTTATTATTATCTAGCCTTGATTTTGATACGGGTTGCCGATCACTCAAATAGCAAGACCTGTCTAGACTTGCCCCTGGCACGGGAGCTTTGAGAGTACCTACTATCGTTCCTAGGAAAGTTTCTCGTTTGTTATTAGTCTTATGGATACTGAATTTCATTTTATTTATAATTCTCTATTCAAATGAATTTTAATGTATTAAATACTGCTTATTAGACTTTAGTGTAGTGACAACATCAATAATACTAAGAAAACACAGCAGGTAACAAGGAGATCTATCGGACCAATTATTACATTAATAAAGGATTCAATACCTATACGATCCCTGAGTAGTTCAAAGCATCGAAAGATTTGCACCGTGAGATGTACAAAATCTCGGACACTACCCCTTTCTAACCAAACGTACTCGACATACGTGACAAATCTTAGGACTTTCAGTGCTATGCCGATGCATCTAGCTAAATGCGTACGCGTCTTATTCGTAGTCTCCGACGAATTTCCATGTCAAACGTCCTAACCGCGCGCATCCATTCGAGAAGAGTACGGACCGAACGGATCGCATATTCTGTCCTCCGTAGCCTAAGTCTTATAGTCTTAACCGTACGCGATCCCATCACCTCTTCTTTCATTTGTCGCGAACGACGTCTCTTAATGGCCCTCTTCATGACTAGCTTCTTCTCCTTCATGACCTTACGAATCGTCTGTACTTTGGCGTTTACCGATTTGAGAGCTTGTTTCTTTTGAAGTTTCGCCTTCTCTGCCTTCTTCTGCTTGCGCCTCTCCTTCTGTCGCTCTTTGTAGGTCTTCTGCGGCGATGAAAAGGCAGGGCGTAATTCGGGAGAAGGCTGTATAATAGTAGACGGCGTAGGGGGAGATGCAGTAGGAGGTACCGTTATAGGAGGCATCGTTATAAAAGGCGTGGCTGGAACGGGTGTCACGGGAGGTAGAGGTGTAGAAGGGGTTGTGATAGGAGCGCCTCGAATAGCCAATTCGCAAACCAGCTTGATTACTTCGCGACTGACCAGGTTCGATAGATCACGAAGCCCCATAGCATTGAGTACTTGTGGATTTAGGGTCATTGCCATAGTCTCCTCCGTGACTGGCTTCGTGTTAACCTCCTCTGCAGCCTGGTTACGTTCGATTTCCAAACGAATATCACGAAGACGATCAACCTTTAGCTGCATGGATTCCATCATGGATTGTAGAGACCCTCCCATAAGGCTCAACTTAGGCATCATCTCATCTATTGCCAAGTTGTGCCTCTTTTGGATTTCATTCAGCTGATTGCGATGGGCTTCAAGGTGCTCTCCATGAATTTCGAGGGCGACTTTATATTCAGCAGCCTCTCTAAATATCGGAGGGACTTTCAACTTGTTGGAACTGGCTTTGTCGGTGTTCGTCGCATCAGTGTTCCCCTCCCCAGTGTCTACTCGGTTGCCATCTTTGGAAGCCATTGCGAGGTTGTTAATTTAGTTGTAGTCGTAAATCTTGGATGCTATTTTTTGCCTTTGGGGCCTGAGATAAAGTAAACAGATGGTTGCCATAGTTTAAAGAGTTTAAACAGCCTCTTTCAGAACGTGCTAACAATCTGGTTGCACGGGTGATTTAGTTTCTTCAACTTGCAGAGAAAAAAGCGGATAGAACAGGTGGCGATTGCCTCATTGTAGATGTCTAAGCATTGTTGCTAGGGATCCACATAAGTGACTATTTACGGGCGATGATAGCGTTAGCGTGGGAAGTGACTTTAGCAAGTCGTTGACATGTCACTTACACGATGAAGGATTAGAAGACGTGCAAGAAAGGGTCTTAGTATTCCGTAGGGAAACGCATGTCATGGCATGACGCTGGTTGAGAAGGGCTTGTCACACTGACTATTAGCACTGAAAGGTTTTTAGGATTTCCTAAATTGTGAATATTAAACGGAATTATATAATCAGTGTCTATATATATCTCTATCTAATAGACTCAAAGAGCACTGGCACAAATAAGGATGAAGAGTTTAGGGACAGCCCGTTATAAGCTAACTTGCGGATTTTTTGATAGCCGGGTAGCGTTATAGTCAGACATATCGACAAAGAATGGACTACGTTAGTCTAATTGTGATAGTGAACTACAAATATCCGAATGGACTTGTATATATAAACTAAAGCAGTTGGAATAGATCATGTTCTGTACTGTTTCCAGATTAGATAAGTGGTATGTAGTGTAGACATAACATAGTATATTACGAGAAATTTTCTACTTCTTAGCAATAGCAACATAAGCGATCATCTTAAGTTCAGTTTCGCCCTTATCATTCTTCGAGATCCCATCACTATTCGTCTGCTCCTCCACAATATCCTCGAGTGCCTCATCCCACTTATCCTCCTCATTCTAGGTTCATCCACATAGTAGTTACGCTACCCAATAAACTTCACGCCAGTTGCACCCATATCTTGAGATCGGGTACGGTCAAGTAGTATTCATTATTCGAGCAGGTAATATTATCGTCCTTGAATCCGCCGGTCTGGAGAGCCATTCGCAAATCGCATTCTTCGTAATGCTCTCAGGGAAGCATAACAGGCATAGGGGCATCCTTGCCTCGCCTGTTCCAGTGCGCGTGTTGCAGGGCCTAGATATGAGGCATTAATATCCAGATAGTAGCAACAGCAGTACTACCCGGCTTAAGTGTGCGGTGTATCTATTGTCTATTCAAACAGTAATAAAAGGACATCCGGTTTCCTAATCATACAACGTACCTGTTGGTCCGCATGTATCCTTTATAGGAACCAACTGAACGGGGCTTGATGGGTACAAAGTGCTGTAATATTCAACGTACTATACCTACATCCAAGATTTATCTTTAAAATTAAAACAGTTAACCGTATTAGATCAGTTTAACTTCCTTTAGAAAAAACAAAACTCCCGACCGCAATATTCCATTAAAAGCGTATAGGTAAAACGCTCCAAGGTATTATCACCGCTTAAATTCGTCATGACCAAATCCCAAACCAATGTACAAATTGTATATACATTCTCCCTACGGAGTTTCGTTCCTCTTCATGTCTAGGCAGATGCACATTGCGACGATGATAGCCATGTCGACGTTCGGCGCGATAGTAACGTTATAAGTCTGCTGGTCGGCTAGGAACTCCCGCGCATTCCAGCGATCACGGTAAACGGACGCGACGGTTTGGCCGGTGGCCTCATCCGTGATATCAGCCGTCGTATCGGTCCAATCGCCCTTCATCACTAGTTCCTCCTGCTGACCAGAGGCCGAAGTAAACGTACCAATGAACTTAGAGCCACCCACTGTAATGTCTTATGTTAGTTGCCTAATGTCATCCTAGTACAAGACGGGGATGGCGTCAGAATAGCAAACTTACACCTAAATTTACTCCTCACTTCGAAGATCTCGTTGCCATTGGAATTCTCGGCATAGTACGTCGTGTGTATGCTCAAGTGCTTCTTGCGAATACAAAATAGGAAGTTGCCGCTTGTGTCCATGACGTTCATGCGGCTGGAGAACGAGAGGGACTCGCCTTTTACTTTGAAGATGGGTTTGACCATTAGGTAGGCCTACGTCGAAGCTGTTTCCCGATAGCGACAAACATTTTTCTTTTAGAATTAACGTTTCGGATTGCCTCGCGAAGAATTGTGGAAATATGCCTATCTGTCGAGGAAAGGGATGTAGTTGTGGCGGGTTTCCCATTTTGAGGGTTGGTTGGAAAGTTGATGAAATTTGAGTCGAGGGGATTGGGACTGGCTGGCTGGGGCCTAGATTAGGAACAAAGAAGATGAATCTAAGAAGGGTTGGGAACTCTAGACTATATCATAAAATACGTCTATGGGAGGTATATAAGCTTTTATACCTTTGGTAAAGTGGCAGGACAGCTATTAATTTCTTAATTTGTGATACGCCGTATAAGTCCTAGGCGATGATCCATGGCCAATGACCTATTAGGATAGTTCTAACCTACGTCAATCCACCAATTGGTAGTTTGAATTAACACCACAGCCCTCGTCGATCCGCTGTACGGCTGAACTGTCTGCTAAGCTGTCCCACTTTCACAGAAACGCATCTGAGCTCAGCAAGGCGGTTGGGATCACGTGCTAATGGTCATTTTCCGCTAGAAATTCCCTGATTGGGTAGTTCTCTAAGACGCCCTGCATGTGTAGCTCAGCTTTAGTACTACAGCTGTAAATTTTGTGTTTATATTTGTAGTGGTATACCGGTTAAAGTATCATAGCTTCTAAGAACAAGACCCCGATTTAGTCAAGTTATGATGGGTGCATCGCACTCTATGTACGAGGGTATACTTGAATATTGTGCATACCTCTTTATGCATAGGTGCCTAGTATCAGAAATTGGTTTGGAATCAAGTGAGGGGCGACGAGGATTTTCGATAGCGCTAATAGAATAAAAGTTAGGTTAGATTTCAAGATGAGGCCATCCTCATTCTTTTCATCTCCCGGCTTGTAAAAGAAACAAAACATAAAATTGTACGTTATAAATCCTCGATCTTGCAAAGAATATTAATTTATCGTCACCAAAACCTAAATTTTATATGGGATAGCCATGCTCCAGTCACTATAAAATTAACATCTGTATTCAAGTTGACGTGGTTATAGTCAAGTAAGAGGTTAATATAAGATGTATCAAATCGTACCCCTGATCAATTATCTAGAAAAGGGTTATTCAGCTCAGGGGCATTATCACCCGGCTGGTTAGGGTCAGAAGAGCCCCCTTCAAATAATCGATTGGAAATTTTCGGAAAACCCTGTCTGCTTTGCTTATTATTATATTGACTCCAGAAACAACACCCAGCGATCGAACCCCCTATATATACTCGAAGGAAGTTAGGGTCAGCAGGGAAGGATTTACTTGCAGAGGGGTAAGAACTCAAAGTTGAAAAAGTCCTAGTGGATACGACCTAACTACTGTAACCTTCAGGACATGCATTCTAGCGAATGAGAATGCTGATCGGTATAAGGTTTTTATTAATATTCTCCACGACGTTGGCGTACGCTGGAATTTGTACCCCTCACTTACATTTCAGCTGCTTGCCGTCATGAAGCAATCAAGTCGAAAGGGCCTTTCGAGCTTGAGCCACGGCACTAGATCTTATAGAAGCCGTAGAGCTATTATATTAGCTATTTTATTATTCAATGTGATATGTCTATTACGCACATGGGCATTCCAAAATGTGAAATCTGGACCGGATATAACTCAGGTGCAGAGATGCGCCATCGATAATCTCCGAGCCGACCTATCTTTCCTCGACGGAGCATTGCCGATTAGCAAATATGAATTTATAAAAAGAAGAAATCGTCTCGCACGAGCTTTAGTCGTCGCATCCAATGTCGATGCTTTCGTTCTCGAGCCAGGCTATACCTTTCAGTGAGACTATAAATCCTAAAGAAACATCTTACTCATAGTTATTCACGTGTTTCAACCTGACCTAACATCAATGGCTTACCAGATACTACGGAAATACCTCGCAGGGTGATTGGGAGCCCTGGGAGCCAGAAGAAAGGCCGTTCTTGATGATAATCTTACCCGTAACCTCCGAGTCCGGGGCCGTTTCCGCCAAGACGGCTTTTCTTGCTCCACATTTTGAGGAAGGCCGAGTCCGCATGCTCGGGATTCCCTCTCAAGAGCCTGAACTGGATATCGTGATTTGGGAAGAACACTGGGATCCTTACAGCACCCTGCGACAATCCCATCTGTTTGCTAATACTGGCGTGCATGAGCATGGGAGGAAACCTAGACTCATAATAGATGAGGAATTGCGGGATTTTATTGCTCGCGGACTTGCTAATGCTGGATTCGAGACGTTCGGGTTGAGTGCAGAAGTCGAATTAGTGAGGCAGCTGAAAAGCCCCGCCGAAGTAGAATTGCTCCGCGCTGTGAACACTGGGACTGTGATGGCCGTAAGGGCGATGCGTCCGTGCCTCGTGGCGGGGCTGACCGAGGACGAGGTACGAGATATTCTTGACGCATCGCTTCTCTCGGTGGGTTTTACTCTCTTTTTCAATATAGTGCTCTTTGAGGAAGACGGCGCTTTGCCTCACGGTGGCTTTGTCGTCGGCAAAAAGGAATTAAACTATGAGACGATGGTTGTGATCGATGTCGGGTAAGCACACTTGAAAAATTCTAGACGTATCCTCTAAACTCCTTCTAGGGCACATTACTTAGGATACTCTTCCGACATTTGCCGCAGCTTTTTCATAGACTCAGCAGATGAAGGGGGCAAAACATATCCCAGTTTAGTTGCATCTCTCCTTATGACTATGGGCCTGCTGCCCAAGTCAATCCAAGTTCCTAGAGGGGACCCTAAGCTGCAGGCAGAAAAGTTGAAAGTATGGAATATTGTACTAGAGGCCCAGACAGCTGCATCTAGGGAGTTTAAAGCGAACAATACCGCGGCGAGCGTCGACCTTGCTGCTCGTAAGATCATTGAAAATGCAGGATATGGTCATGCCTTTACGCACCGGCTGGGTCACGGAATTGGAATTAAGGGTATGCACTTCTTAAACTCATTATATCTAAAAAGTCGGTCTTTTGATATAATCTACTCACTCACTTCTCTCTAGCCCACGAGTCACCATACTTGAATAAGTGGAATACGAAGAGCATCCTCCGACCTGGGATGACTTTTACAAACGAACCTGGGATATATCTGGAAGATAAATTTGGTGTTCGTCACGAAGATATCTATCTTGTAAAAGAAGACGGTGATGCTGAGCTGTTAACGGGGCGAAGGGCTATGAGTCCCTATGATCCTTGAGAAGTGTGATATGGCGAAGAAGGCTTTTAGTTCCAGATTCCCGTTTGTCACAGACAAGACTACCATGGAACTCACCCATACGTCCCATAAATGAGGAATTATGAAGACAGTAGAAAACGATACTAGTCGTATTTACCGCGTCGTGTGATTAACTTAAGTTAAGTACTTAGATACTCATACGAATTTGACAGAATTCACTCGATATGATTGTATTTTTCTGCGATTGAGCTCACCCGATTCTTCCTGGCCATCATTCAAACTCGATGAATAGAAAAGTCTTAGTTAATAGGCTGTTCGTTGAAACAAACAATCACGATCATGCCGAGATTGCTTAAAACCATCAGCGTAAATGCAATTTGCTAACTGGCTCTAAAACTAATATATAAACAGTCCCGAACGCCTCCTATTTTCTTTTCCATTTCCTCTAACCTTAACCCAATCTAACCTTAACCCAATCACCTCACAAAACAACACAACTACTCCTTAACATATCCGATGGCAGACGCTTGGATGATAGACGCTGGCCTTAAGATCTTACAGGATATCACGGGGGCCGAGTCCTGGGCTCGCGCACTCCCCGTCGAGCGTGCCAAGCTCTCCGCTGAAGAGAGAAAAAAAATTACCGATTTACACGGATGGATCTTTACAAGTGGCAACATAGTTCGCATAGCAGCTATACTGGTCCCCAGTAATACTGCACTCTGCCAAGGCCAAAGGAGGCTTGACGATCTTGAGACCCTTCTTAGAACCATCGAGAGCAGGGACGATTATTTGAACGCACATGGGCGGACGTAGTAGGGGCCGAGGGATAGTTGACCCTTAACGGCATTAGGCAGGGGCTTGATTGTATATCAAGTTTAGCCTAGATGTAAACTTTTTTCGGGTCATGTCGTAGGTCGTCTTGATTCTACGCCTTGGAGTTCGCGGTGGATTTCTTACTGTTCGAGGGTGCAATATGCATATTTCCTGTCTACCTAACCATCTTGGACAGAGGGAAGCTTGGTTACCTAGGTACTTATCTTGGATAACATTCGCAAGCAGCCTTGTCAATTTTGCAGCTTTGTGCCTTAAGCGTTGATTTTATTAATAATACTTATATTTCCTAAAAATCGGTTCTTTGTTAAGTGACTTGTGTATATGTGAGGCTATATTTTGAATCTATGGAAGGAATATAGTTAATCTAGATTTGGCATAGATACTCGAAGAAGAATTATAAAGGACATGAACCTCTACCGGTAAGCTTCGCCAAGCTGTTTTCTAACAGTGCCTAAGCTAAATGTTAAGTAAAAAAGACTTAGGTAAGTTGGTGTTTTATCTATCAAAGTATCCAAGTGTAAATATTAAAGCACCTTACCTTAATTCATATTTTATATAGGAGGTAAGTATCGTTTAACTATTAATAGTTCTTCCCGAGTTACAACTACATTCAGCTCTACGACAATAGATCCAAACCACCCATCCGAGTGTTTCATTTGAGCTATCTAGAAGTAAAAGATATATACCTAAGTGTATACAATACGGTTACAACTGATTTGTGGCTCACATATATAAACACGACTTTAATACTTGCTACATTGAGAATGGTGAAAGGCTAACGCGACAAGGTGTTAATGTTATCTAATAACGGCCATTGCCCTGTCCAATCTTTCATATAGTCGTAGATTATAGTATCTTAAATAGGCGAATAAGAGTGTAGGTTGTTTTATCTTGGAAGGTTGATATACTTTGTGATGTACGATACATGCATTGTCCGGCTAAGTGAGAGAAGCCGCCAATATTGCAATGGTGAAACATATTGCCATATCGATGTAAGACATCGTACATTACATCGATTGGTATGTAATACACACTACCTAGGTACCTACATATGAGAGATCTACCTCTTGGATATAGGGATTTTCTTACTTTAATAATATTGTTCTGCATAATATGATATTTATCATAGGTTAGGTAGGTGGATAGATCTTGATAACGTCTTAAACGAATATAGCAAGACCTTCCATCTTTTGCCTAGCTCCGGGGGTCGACTGGGGGTTGACTGGGGTCTGACTGCATATCGCCAAGGATCGTCACTCATTATCTCGGCTGCTCGGGTGGCGTGTTTACATGTCCGGGTGTTAATAATACGACGTAATCTCTCTTGTCCTGCCTAAAGCAATAATAACGACAACGGAGGTTAGATATTGCACAATGCCAAGCGGGCCTCCAATTATCCTCTCAAATATGGACGTGTCGCCCTATTTTTGGATTATCTAGGTGACTCCTGTTTACTGGAATCCCCTCTAGAGGCGCATTTTCCATCGTTACCATGGTTCGTTGCGGTGCTGTCGCGGGCCTACTGGCCCTTGTCTCTTCCGTCGAGGCAATTCAGAGACACCCCTTGCCAATTAGCGAACTTGCGAAGCAGGTATGTGAATATACATAATAACTTCATTTGAATATAAACAGATACACCATATCTTCCTCCATTTGTCATCAATATACCATGTAAATATTCGAATAATCATGAGACTAACTCATCCAATTGCGGCAGGTCCAACGTAGAGACGCGCACAACGGTCTCAGTGCGAGAGAGCTTGACCTCCAAGCCATTTACCCCGAGTACAATCTCTCGACCCCGATTGACCATTTCCACAACGATTCCTCTTATGAGCCGCACTCCAATGGCACATTTAATTTGCGATACTGGGTTGATACGCAATACTATAAGCCAGGGGGTCCAGTGATTGTGCTCTCAGGAGGGGAGACGAGTGGAGCTGATCGCCTACCCTTCCTACAGAAAGGCATCGTTTACCAGCTTGCGAAAGCGACGGGCGGAGTAGGGGTCATTCTCGAACATAGATACTATGGAAAAAGTATTCCCGTGCCGGACTTTAGCACCGAGAACCTACGCTTCCTTACTACCGACCAGGCCTTGGCTGATACTGCTTACTTTGCTAAGAATGTCAAATTTGCCGGCTTGGAGGGCGTGGATCTAAGTCCTGAGAAGACACCTTGGATTGCCTACGGCGGCAGTTATGCCGGTGCTTTTGTCGCGTTCTTGCGAGTCGTATACCCGGATGTCTATTATGGCACTATCTCGTCGTCTGGCGTTCCCCAGGCTATTTGGGATTACTGGCAATACTTCGAGGCTGCCGCCGTTTATGGGCCGCCAGCATGCGTCGAAACCACCCAAAAGCTCACGCATATTATAGACAATATACTTATTGGTAAAAAGGGCTCTGAGTACGTTGGGCAGCTTAAGGCAGCTTTCGGCCTACCCAATATAACGCGCGACGGCGACTTCGCCAGTGCCATAAACGGCGGCATCTATGGGCTGCAGAGTCTAAACTGGGATCCTTCGCAGAGCAGCGACGAATTCTTTGTCTACTGTGATAAGGTCTCATCGGACGATGTGCTGTATCCTGGAACAGAGTCACGCAGGGCATCTATTGAAGAGTTGATCAAAATCGGCGGCTACGAAGACGAGGTAGAAACCCTCGCAAACCGATTCTTGAATTACGTTGGCTACATAAACCGGACTTCAGTTGCAAGATGTTCCGGTGATCAGGATGCATGCTTCACTACCGACGACCCGGAATTTTATGCCCAGGATGATATTTCTCAAACTTGGAGGTTATGGCAATACCAAGTTTGCACCCAGTAAGTCTCAAGCCACTGATTCATAATATGGTCTCAAGTACTCACCTGATATCCAGGTGGGGTTACCTTCAAACCGGAAGCGGTGTCCCTGAGGACCAACTCCCTCTCATCTCACGTACCATCGATGTGGACTACTCGGCTCTGATTTGCCGAGAGGCTTTCAATATAACCAAGCCAGCCGACGTAGAGTACATCAATAAGCTCGGCGGATTTAATATCAGCTATCCCAGACTTGCTTTCATCGATGGCGAATGGGATCCGTGGAGGGCGGCAGGTGTTCATGCCATTGGTCTTCCTGAACGACCCAACACTATAGAGGAGCCCTACATCCTGATCGATGTAAGTTCGTCATTACTTTTTCTTTATCTTGTACTAACAGTTTATTAGCGGGCGGTCCATCACTGGGATGAGAACGGTCTATTCCCTAACGAAACGACAGCAGAGCTACCACCAGCGCCGGTTGCGGATGCCCAGAAGCAGATCGCGACATTTGTGCAAAATGGGTGCAAGAATTCACGGGTAAATACTAGCAGCAGGTGCCTGTACTTGCACTTGTCAACCACGGGAAGCTGACGGGAGTAGCAGGTGTTGTAACGGAGTCTGATGAACTATAACATAGTTATTAAATGCTATAGCAATATGCAGTAGACTCAGTGTTATGTCGAACTTGAGCTCATTTATGTCTGCATGATTAACAGCAATAACCACTAAACCACAGGGATTGCTTCATGCATAAAGCACCTATCATAATAAGTTCCGGTAGGTTATCTGAGCGGCACGTATGTGATTCAGTGCCATTTCCGGATAGCGTTAGGGTGACTCAGTATATGTATCACTTCAGGTCAGTTTTGAATCTTTACATTCAATAGATTTTGCGAATAGTCGTGTGGCCATGCTTGACGGTGGTTATGGTTTAGATATCGTTATAATATCAACTTAATTAATTAGAACATAATAAGATCTTCCGGTAACCAAGACTCCGTGTGGGAGCAAGCTATCCGAAAGCCGAAGGATGAAATCTATTCTTGGATTATGTAAATTCTAACTAAGAGCGACCAGATCGATGGGTCAAAGTAAGATGTGCCGCATTAAGGGATTGGACCAAAGCATTCGCGAATCGCGATTGACTGACACCGATTAGCCTTGGCGAGCAGGGTATATCACAGCCCCTTACTTGAACATTCCTAGTATGTATTTGTAATAGGACGAAGTTTTATCTTGGCATCGAGAAATAAAAATCAAGATAATTATCTTGCTTATGCCAACTCGCCTAGACACATAGCCCCCCGCCAGCACATTTATTTGCGGATCTGTCAAGGCAACAAGCACGGCTTTGCTAAGGATTTACATAGTTTTTGCGGATCTAACTGTTCAAGTGTTAATGATGATAAAGTGCGCTAATTCGTAAACCTATCGAATCAATAACCCTAACTAAAATACCACGCGAGGATTTTCAACTCCTAACAATATGTGCTCAATTCTGTTTTATGTACGTTTAGAGGTAGTTATACAATGTGTGTCCTCGTTAGTTCGGCTAGCCTTGTTTCCAAACCCGTTGTCTCGATACGACCGCCATAGTGTATGCTGTTGCAAATGTGTTCAAGCCTGAAGCTTCTTCGCAATACTCCCATGATATCTGGAGCAATCGTGATGCCAAGGGATATCGTGAACGATGACCATAACTCCCAATATGTGAAACCCGATGAAACCCCCCGAAATTTCCAACCAATGCATTTCTAGTTTAGTGAATGTTGTTCTCGAGGTTTTTAGACGCTCGTGATGATTCTTCCGTAAGGAACGCCTCCGCGCTCGTAGACAGCCATGATGTTGTTGTCTCCTCTCTGGAAGGTACCTGGCCAGTATGAGCTATCCTCCGAGAGGTGGAATGTCTGGCTGGTCCACCTGAGGTCACCGTTGTTAAGCTCCGAAGAAAATATCATTTTGATATCGGCCTTGTTAGCCCAATCCAACTGGTCGGCAGGCAGGTCTTCGTCGGTCATGAAGACTACAGCAAGACCTTTTCCGAGAGTAGCGATCTGCGGCGCCCCCGTTGTGCTGGTTAGGCCGGTAGATCACGTTTCGCCTGCCCCATGTGTTACCGTCGTCGTAAGAGACCACGGTTCCGAGGTAGAAGTTCGGGCCGTCCTTGACTTCGAAGACCATGACTAGAGCATCTTGGCCATTGGCGTCCTTGATGGAAGCAATCCCCTGCATTCCGTCTCGGAACTGCTGATCCGGGCTGTGTAGCCTTAGGTTATTCGGTGTAGACCATGTCGCTCCACCATCGTACGACAGAGTGCGGAATGTCTCCTGGTTGGTCTGGCTTAGCTCGCCGGAGTACGTTAGCTGGAGCCCGCCGTCCTTGCCGATCCGGATGAAGGGCTCCCATAGTCCGTTGAAGCCCGATGCGTCAGCGGGCTGTTGCGCAGCATGAGCCAAGAAAACCCACGTGCGACCGCCGTCGTCGCTTTTACAGACGGTGATACGGAAATACGTAAGAGCACCATTGGCATCCTTGTCGTGGTTACGGAAGGCGGCAAGGACAGTTCCGGACGGAAGTTGAATTAGAAATGCGTTATCCAAGTCTCCGGGGCTTTGTGCGATACTGCCGATCTCGTTGAATGTTGCGCCGTCGTCATCGCTCCTGGTAACTCTAATAGTTCGTAAGCCATTGACGGTGTAAGCTGATGCCGAGAGGATGCCGCCGTCCGCGAGCCTAGTAAGGCGAGGGTATGTCCCTCCGGGGGACAGCTGGCTTTCCCTATCGCCGAGAGTGAAGGAGGCACCGATCTCGTTGAAAGCAACCGTGGTGTCTCGGTACGTGAGATGAAGTTTGTTCCGGATCGACCTCCATCTGAAGGCTTCCCTTAGCTCACCCCTAGGTCCCACTGCCCTTGTTTCGTGAAGGGGATGAGCAGGATGGAGTGGCCTAGCTAAACCAAGAGAAATAAAGCTAAGGCAGTGAAGTAATATAAAATGAGTGACATGTTGGCAGTTCGTTGAGACATTGCCGGTATAGTGAATATAACTTGGTAGGCTCTTGTTGTTGTTCCAAGGGAACCTATGAACAAGTTGGACGGAGGGAGAGAGCCTTCTTATATAAAACTACAACAAAGACGTGCTCGTCACTTGTACATAGGTAGTCAGTCGTGACAAGTCTTGACGTAGACTAACACACACATACACACACATATACATCCGTCCTGTGCCTTTCCGACTGTGCCTCACTTACACCTCACATCAACACAGCATCACATGGCAGGTCGATGTCCATAATTTCAGGAAGGGGTGACGGCGGATCTCTTGACCCAAGCAATGGCTTACTTGCAGAGTCCTGGGGGGAGTCATGGGTTTTTTGGGCGCATCGTATAATGGTCTGCCACGAATATCACGAGAACGTCTGATTGGCGCGTAATGCGGTAAGGGGTGCCAAGGAGGTCGTAGTGCTTCAACATCACGGTATAGGAAACTATAAGTTTAACGCCGGCCTATTGTCTAGCCAAGAGTTGACCGTGTAACCTGCAGTGATCTATAATACGTATATGATATGAGATTTTATGATGCTTTTAGAGGATTTAACCCGGATCCGGTTAGATATTTCGGTCGAGTTTATGTTGTTGATGCTTCTTTCTCGGCCTGATCCGGTGACTTTCCTTGGTTAATACCTTGGTTAATAATGGGTCGGACTGGAACATATGTTGCTTGTTTCGAGCCTTACTCCAGAATAACCCGCATATGAATTACAACTACTAACTACTTCCGCCCTTACCCACCAACATACCCAGGCCAAACCCCTTAAGGGAATAGGATCTGAAGGATTTGAAACATTTTACCAAATGGTTGACCTGCCTTGTCAAGATCAACATAGGCTAGATATATTAGACAAGTCATTTTATGTATTAAGGTTATCTAGTAATTAAATCTTAAGTCTAAGTCTAGCAACTTCAAGTAAGATTCCCCCCTCGACGGTCCGCACTTTGTGGCGCTGCTGACGTTGGACCGACTAGAAAACGAACTGTAAAAGTATTCGTTGTACATGTTGCACAGCATGCAAGCTAAGAAAACTTGGGATAGAAACAGCGGAGAGGAACGCGGGAAACAGTGGGGACTTAGGAGGTATGTAGGTACAAGTTACCAAGCTAGGTACCTAACCTTACAAGTCAAATACTTGGGTACAGATTCGAATGTTGGGTCCCAAAGGTTATACCTGCGTTTCTGGAAAAATTCTTAATTTAGCTCGGTTACGACAGTCCAGGGGAAGTGCCGGTGTACCTGTAAATTATATTGTACTAGGACCTTAGACGCACCTGCATTTCTGCGAGGAATCCGAGGAACCCGACAACTAATTAGGTACTTGTACTTTACAAGGGCGCACCTCATCCCAAAGTTATCCCAGAACTTTAGCCTAAAGTTTAACCTAATTAGGTTAATTGTAAAACCTTAACGCGTAATAATTTCCCAACTTTCTAATTAATTAAATTTAAATTAAATAACCTTATCTACCTATTTAAAAAATTTTAGGTTTTTTTTTTAATATTATTTTCTTTTTTTTTTTAATATTAATTTTACCATTATTTATAGCTATTATAACTAATTGTTATAATTATAAAAATTAAATAAGTTTAATTAATAATTAATTATTAATTAATTAATATTTATTAATATATAATTAATTAATTAATTAATTAATTTATAATTAATTGTTAATTATTTAAACTATATTTTATTAATGTAATTATTAATAAATATTATAAAAAATATTTAAGCTATTAAAAACGTTTTAATCATTATCCGAATAAAATGAAAATATATTTTATTTTTTTTAATTAATTTTAATTAAATGGCATTTTAAAAATTGCTTTAAATAAGCTTTTTTTGCATGCGCCTTTTAAACGAGTAAATATATATAAATAACGTAAATATTAAATATATTATTAATTAATTATTAATTAATTATTAATTAATTAATAATAAATAATATTAATTTTTTAATTTATGTAACTACTTTAAAATATATATAGTTTAAAATATAAAATTTTTTTTACTGGTTAAATAAATAGTATAAATTATTAATTAATTAATGGTAAATTAAATAATAATATTATTATTAATTAAAAATTAATTAACAATTTTTTAAATTTTTATAAAATGTTAATTAATAGTTAAATAATAATTTATTAAAAAAATAATTAAAAAAATAGTTAGTAAAAAAATAATATTATTAATCAATTAAATTAATTGCTAATTAATTGCTAATTAATTAATATATACCAATAATTACGCTATTAAAAATAACGCATATTATTTAACATAATATTAATATTACGTTATTAAAAGTTAAAAAACTAAACTTTACCTAATATCTCAAAAAAAATATTTATTTTAATTAATAATTAATTATAATATTATTATTAATTAATTAAAAATTAACTATTAATAGCTGCATTATATGTAAAATGATTAATTTAAATAAAAAAATTTAATAACTATAGCTATAAGCCGAAAAACTATTAATAATTTATTAAATAATTTTTATAATTAATTATTAATTAATTAACATATTTATCCGAAAAACCCGATAAAATTTGTAAATTTAAAAATTGTTTAAAAAGCCGGTTTTTAATATATATTTTATAAATAATAACGTAAAGGTTTTAATTAATTAAGGCGTTTAAAAATAAAAATATTATATAACGTTAAAAAATTTAAATATTATTTTATTTTTTAATTGATTTATAATTAATTTTTATTAATTTTATTATTTAATATTTATTTATTTATACATTATTATTAATTAATTTAATTTATTTCTTTCCCTTTCCTTCCTTTTTCCTTCCTTCCTCTTTTCCTTTTTCTTTCTTTCCTTTCTCTTCTTTCTTCTCTTTTCCTTCTTTTTCCTTAATTTTTCCTTCCTTCCTTCTTTCTTTTTTTCCTCTTCCCCTTTTCCTCCTCCCTTTTCTCTTTTCCTTCTTTTCTCTCCTCTTCTCCTTCTTTTCCTTCTTTTCCTTCTTTTCCTTCTTTTCTTTTCTTTTTTTCTTTCTTTTCTTTTCTTCTTCGTTTTTTTCTTTTCTCTCTTTTCTCCCTTTCCCTTTCCTTTCCCCTTTTTCCCCTCCCTCCTCTCCTCTCTTCCCTTTTTTCTTCTTTTTTTTCTCTTCCCCTCTCCCTCTCTTCTCCTCCCCTCCCTTCCTTTCCCCTCTTCCTTCTTCTTTCCCTCCCTTCCTTCTTCCTCCCTTCTCCCTCCTCTTTTCCCCTCCCCTTTTTCCTTCTTCTCCCCCTTCTCTCTCTCTCTCCTTCCTTCCCCCTCCCGCTTTCCCTTCCGGTTCCCTTCTCCTTCTTCTTCCTTCCTTCCCCCTTCCTTCTCCCTTCCTTCTTTTTTTTTCTTTTCCCTTTTCTTCCTTTTCCCTTTCCTTCTTTTTTTTCTTTCCTCCCTTTCCCGTTCTTCTCTCTTTTCTCCTCTTCCTTCCTTTCTTTTTTTTCCCTCTTTTTCTCTTTTCCTTTTTTTTTCTTTCCCTTTTCCTTCCCTCCTTTCCTTCTTTTTTTCCTCTCCTCCTTCCCTTTCCTCCTCTCCCCGTCCCCCTCCTCTTTCCCTTCCCCTTCCCCTCCTCTTCCCCTTTCTTCCTCTCCCTTCTTTTCCTTCTTCTCCTTCCTTCTTCCTTCCTTCCTCCTTCTTCCTCCTCCTTCCTCCTTTCCTTTTTTTCTCTCCTTTTTTTTTCCTCTTCTTCCTCTTTCCTTTTTCCTTTCCTCCCTTTTGTCCCTCCCTCTTGGCCTCCCTTTTCCCTTTTCTTCCTCCCTTTTCCTCTTTTCCCCTTCCTCTCGCTCTCTTTCCTCTTTTCCTTTCTTCTTTTTTCTCTTTTCTTCCTTTCTCCCCTTTCCTTCTTCTTCCTTCCTTTCCCCCTTCCTTCTCTCGCTTCTTCCCTTTCCCGTTTCCTTCCTTCCCTCTCTCTTTCCTTTCCCCTTCTCCCCTCTTCTCTTTTCTCTCTTCTTCTCCTTTCCCCCTTCTTTTTCTTTCCTTTTTCCTTTTTCCTCCCCTCGTCCTTCTTCCTTTTTCCTTCCTCCTTCCTTCTCCCTTCCTTCTTCTCTTCTTTCCTCTCCTTTCTCCTCTCTTCCTCTTTTTTCTTCTCCTTCTCCTTTTCTTCCTCTTCCCTTTTCCTCCCCTTTCTCTTCTTCCCTTTTCTTTTCCTTTTTCCCCCTTCTTTTTCCCTCCTTTCCTTTCCCCTCTCTTTCTTCCCTTTTCGCTTTTCTCTTTCCCCTCCTCTCTCCTTCTTTCCCCCCTTTCCTTCCTTCCTCCTTCCTTTCTCCTTCCTTCTTCTTTCTTTCTCCTTCCCTCGTTTCTCCCCTTCCCTCCTTCTTTTTCCCCCTTCTCTCTCCTCCTTTTCTTCTTCCTTTCCCCTTTCCTTTCCCTTTCTTCTCCTCTCTTCCCTCCTTCCTCCTTCCTTCCTCCTTTCTTCCCTTTCCCTTTCTCCTTTTCTTTCTTTTCCTTTCTTTTTTTCTTTTTTCTTCCCCCTCCCTTTTCTCCCCCTCCCTTCTCTCTTCCCTCTCTTCCCCTTCCCCTCTCCCCCCCCTTTTTTCCTCTTCCCTCCCTCTTTTCCGTCTCCCTCCTTCTTCCTTTCCCTTTTTCCTTCCTTCCTCCTTCCTTCCTTCTCTTTTCTTCCTCCCTCCTTTCATCCTTTTCCTTCCTCCTCCTTCCTCCCCTTCTTTTCCTTCTTTCTTCCCTCTTTTTCCTTCCTCCTCTCCTTCTCTTTCCCTTTTTCTTCTTTTCCCCTTCTCCCCTCTCCCCTCCCTCTCTCTCTCCCCTTTCCCTTTCTCCTCCTTTCTCTTCCGGTTCTCTTTCTCTTCCTTCCTTCCTCCTTCCTTTCTCCTTGCTTTCTCCTTCCTCTTTCTTTTTTTTTCTTCCTTTCTTCTCTCTTCTTTCTCTCCTTTTTTTCTTGTTTTTTTTCGCTTCCCTCTTTCTCCTTTCTCTTCCTTCTCCTTCCCTCCCGTTTTCTCCCCTCGCTTTCCTTCTTTTTCC